CCCCAACATGACTGCACATATTCAACCAATGGATGCAGGTATCATTCAAAACTTCAAAGCAAACTATAAGCAAGCACACTGTGAGCAAGCACTGGATCAGGAGATGGCAGGTGTGCTAGATATCTATTGCATCGAGCAGAAGGAAGCAATGGGGTTGGCATGGATAGCCTGGGAGGAAGTCACAGTTGAAACAATTGCCAACTGCTGGCATCACACTTGGATTGTCTCTCCTTGTGGTCCAGATGGCTGCCTTCTACCAACTGAGGAACCTGCAGCACTGCCTGAAGACTATGCAAATGATGACAATCTCTGTGCAGCAGTGGAATGGCTGCATATCTTGATCCAAGAACTTCAAGACCATGGTATCCTCCCTGAAGCACACAGAATGGAGGTCAATGAAATGCTCAGCTTTGCGGCAGAGGAGAACACAGCACAGGAGCTAACAGACAAGGAGATCATTGAGCAGGTGCAGGTACCAGAGGAGTCCGAGGCAGAAGAAGAAGAGGAAGAGGCACATGTTGAGCCAGTAATCAGCCATCATCAAGCACTTGAGTCAGTCAGAGCATTGTCCCGCTACTTTTTGCAACGGGAAGAGCCAGAGTTTGCCCAAGCATACTGGTTGTGCCCACCCATGCTCTGTGCCATCTGTCTCTCTGTTGTCAAGAACATGCTCCAGACATCCATCACAGACTTCTTGTAGATAGCAGACCTCCAGATGACCCCCTGTACCACATCTCTCTGCTTAGCCATCACCCCTCAATACTGATCACAATTCCCTTCCACCAATGACATTGTTAACCTCGAGGATTACTGTAATTTGCTTCCATTTGCTTCCGTTGAAATCTTTTGGCATCTGTGCACAACTTTGCATCTGGTTTGCCCAGTGCCACAGAGTTTTCCCCAGTTTTCTGCACTTCCTTGCTTCAGTTTGTTTGGTTTGTCTGTTTTCAGTGTGGTTTTCTTCATTCTGCCCCTGTCACAATATGAGTAAGCTATGGTGCATTTTAAGCACAATTTTTTTAAAAACACAATTTTTGCAAAACCGGAAAAACTGGAAGACCCGGTTCTTTTTGTTGAGAAAAACCGGAAGACCCGGTTCTGTGTTTTTAAAACTGCTAAGTCCAAACCGGATGAACCGGGTACACAGAACCGGATAAACCGGGCATGGGTGCAAAAGGAGGCAAACTGGAGCAAAACGGAATTAAATGGAATTTTCTTTTTTGATGGAGACTAATGGAGGCAATAGTATACATCCGTGCACAGCCGCCGGCCAAAGCGGCCAAATGGCCGCTTGCCGCCCAGGACTCTCATGCCCACAACACTCGGCATCTCTACCGTACTGTATTGCGTGTGCACACATCCACGTGTTCCATTACTCTCTCACGTCCGACACGCTGATGGCACTGGGCCCTCCAGCTTTGTCGCCCATTCTACGGTGAATGCGCTTTGAACTGCTAGGAAACGACTTTGTGTCTCATCTCAGAGGCTTGATTTCAACACGATCAACGTTTCTATCTAGGACCGATACTCATGGTGCGCCCTCTTTTCCATACCTCGCCTATAACATCCCCACCCTCCTCCTCCATCTTCTTCTGCATCTCAATCCTTCGCTCCTTGCTACTGCTAATAGGACGCCGCTCTCCAGAGCCGAAAGACATCCCTGGCGTTGCCGACTTCCTCTCTTGCATGGTACAAATAAAGTGCTTAGCCAGAATCGAATCACAGACGTCTTGCAGGTCAACTATGCCGCCTCTCTCCTATCTTCGATACTTGCTGACTGAAACCGAGCCGAGAGGGATTGACACGATGGACGGCCCAATCTCTGGACGACTAAAAGCGCATGAGGTACGCGCTGATTGTTGCACTCGAACAACATCGTACTGCAGTTCGGGTAACGTACTTGCTCCTCCAAAATAGGTTGGAACCTAGATGTGGTGTTTGGCTCTGTCCGATCGTGGCGTTCTCGCGGTGCACATCCCTCTATCTTTCACACGGTCACCGAGTCGAAATCTCCTCGCAACAACTCGGACCTGTAGCATTTCTTGAATGCGTTTCTCCCGTGCTTTTAGCGCTTGACACCCTGCACATCTCGTTGCTTGTGATGCTCAACTACGTCATTCGTGGGCCTGTCCCCGTTCCTTTGATATCACTGTAAATCGCTGACTCATGGCATGCACCTGTTCCGCTGACACAGCTGCGATCGTCCCCTTCGGGAGGGTACTGACGCTCTTATCTGGCAAGGACTTTCTTGGTTTCACTACCTGATCCCATAGTAAACTGAATTCAAAATAGAAAAATAAACAAAGACATCAAAAGAGAAGGGGATGATGTTAGGGGCAAAATAAATAAATCACGTGACTGATTTCTTTTCGTCGCGTGCTCTTTGGCAGACGCGTTCTGCTTCCGAAAGAGGCGCGCTCTACTTAGTCGCACCCCATCCAGCCATCGCTTTCGTGCCTTTCCCTCGTGCTCTTCCCTCTCGTCCCCACGTCCTATGACGGTGTCACAACCCAATATGCCGTACAACGTCGAAGCAGCTTTGGCGCATCAATATTACCATTCGGGGTATTTGCCCTATCAAACGGAACATGCCACCGGCCTGTCGTCCACACAGCGTCCTCACTCAGGACCATCGTCTGCCCCCGATCCGGCCACCTTCGACTTCCCCAGTGGGACCACAAAGTACGACTGTCCCTGGTGTGATAAATCATACACGGGGCCCAATGGCCGTAGCATCTGGAGGCGACATGCGCAGGAGAAGCACAATTTGCCGTGCAACTCCAGGCGGTCTCGTTGGGACGCTGGTGAGCATTCTCAATCGCTTGGCCTTTTTAGTTACTCACGAGCCGGAGATCCTGATCGTCCGAGAAATTCTGAGGATAAAAAGGACCGGAATCTGGCTTGCAAGCGTCAATGGGCCAAGGACAATCGCATCAAGAAGCGTCTCTTGAAACAACTCGACACTTTCTCACCGTCGAACCTACGCCGAACCAAGATTGAGGCAGACCTGACTCAATGTACCAAGAGACTACGATCAAAAAGCGTTGAGAAAGAGAATTTGGAACCCCCTCTTTTTCAGGCACCGTATTCCCAACGTACTCCGGTTTTTGCACAAATGGACTCGAATGCAGCAGCTAGCGATGTGTATGATTACGCAAGCGATCCTAGTGTCAGCGGGTGGTCCACTGCTTCTCAGGAGAGCACCCTTCTCGACGGCTGGGACGGGTTCAATTCGGCCTTGAGCGAAGCTCCCAGTCCCGATACGGTAACGCGTGACGACCCCGTTTCTATGCTGGTGTCCTACACAACTGCGGCTGCGGCCGAAGCACGCCGATCCCCACCCTCCCCGGTACATTCTGTTGCACCCCGCGACGACGAAGTTTACTCTGAGGAGGAAGCTGAAGAGATGATGCAATTCGTTGAGCAATATTCGATCGCCGATTCGGATTCGGATGGCGATCCACCTCCTCCAGGAGCGGTAGAGCAATTTCCTCCACCTTCAAACTTCGAGCATGCAAACGGGGCCTCGTACAGTCTTTCTCTCGACGCGCCAGGGGACTCCAGCAATGTTTCAGAAATGAGCGGCCTTATCCATGACAATTATTCATGCACACACGTCACAGCGGTAGCGCCGTTCAGCTTGGCCATTCGGCGGGCGATCTGGAAGCGTGAGCAGGAAGAAGCCGAAGAGGAGTCTAAGATAGAAGAGAGCCTTTTCACTCCGGCCAATGACTCAGAGAGTGACGACTATGCGTTTGGCGACAGAACATACGAACAGGAGGGGCAGTTTTCTCCTCTCCACCCAGTATCCTCTACCAGCTTCCAAGTTAATTCTGACAGGCGGTCAATAAGTGGTCCTGCAGCGACTCCAGGACTCGGCAAATGCTCGAAGATGACGGAATCGCCTTTCCATATTAAGCCTGTGGAAACAACACCTGACAAGCGTCGACTTGCTTGGGAGTTGGGTTTGGGGGCCGATAGCAGTCCTGGCAGCGGTTTCTATCTCGCCCAGGTCAAGTCAGCCGTAGCGGGCCGGTGGGTGGATGAGTTCTGACTGTCGACATTTTGATGCCAACACTGAGACAATTGCATCGTCTGCACTGGCAGTTTTCTTTGGTCCGACAACTTAGCTGTTTTGGTTTCCCCTTAATCCATACCGCCAATCATTTGTTTTCATATCACCTGCATCTTTTCTAACTGTCTTCAATATGTATTTATCTCAGGCATGCCACCTGCTGTCTCAATGTGATACTCTTACTGTGTGATACCCCAAAGTGCGACGACTGCGGAAATGAAATTACAGGCCGTGTGTCAATACAGGTGGGCACATAGATCAGAAATCATAGAGAGCCCCGGCATCACTGAATGCTACTTTTCGTCTGGCTGTCCCCTCTGCCACCGAACTCTTTCCGGATTTGTCGATGGCTGTTGCTGCGGTAGATATTGGATGCACTTCGACCAGATCAGAACTGTTTGGGCCAGGGGCCTGACTATCGCCGGCGGAATACAGAATAGGCGGTGCGGTTCGTCTTTCTCCAACGCCACCCTCAACGTCTAGATTGAGTGTTTCGATAAAGAAGGCCCTTCTCCTACATCTAAAAGCGAGATTGTTTTCCCCGCCACCTCGGATGTTTCCATTCGCCTTCGTCACTTGCCCGAGCCCACGGAGAGCAGATAGCCTATCGCTTGGTGAAACGAGTGATTTGTACGCGGGTAGCTTGTTTAACTGGAGCACGCCACGATGGCCGGAAAGTGGATTCAAAGAATCGGAGATGAGAGTGAGGGCGGCATCTGAGAGGTTAACCAACGATGATAGAAATGGGGCATAGGCGGATGATGAGGATAAATGTGGAGGGAGGGTAATGAGCGCGGTTGCGGTAGAGCCTCGGATTTGCTGGCGTAGTTTATGCATGAAAAATACCAGGCATTGCTGACCGAAGCTTGAGCTTGTGTCCAGCAGGGAAGGGATGACGACGGAGATTCGCAATGCCGTATTGACCTTGTCAGAATACCCTATTCTACTGAATGTCAGGAGGTTTGTGATTCTACTTGATTGAAAAGGACAAACGCATGCGCGGCGCATGCCTTTGCGGTCGCGGAGAGTGTAGAGGATAGCATTGTTGGTAAATCCGCAACATCCATAGTAACAGTGCAAATCCGGCCACTTTTCTTCCCCTCGGATATCACCAAGTTCGGTACAAGCCGTGTCAAGTCAAAATCGCTGCAATACTCGCCGACCGCTAAGAATTCGTTCCGTAGTGAACAGAACAGGTAAGTGAGAGGAACATACAACTTGAAGCTTCGCTTTTGTGTGACACCGTAGTATTGAATGGCTTCATTCCTTCATATCTCCATGCAATCTTCACTGCACTCTCTTTTCTGTCGTCATCTGCGAACGATTCCGCCCGCCCAGCCCCAAGACCGCCGTCCTGATGTACCCACATGCAATCATTCAGATTGAGGGTAGTATCTCCTACCAAGCAAATGTCATGACCAGAACGAAGTCCTTGGGATATGAAATATTTCTGAACAAGCAGGGTCCAAGCAGAATAAGAATCCGGACATTGGACGAGCAAGGAAGTCGACAGCGGCAATCCACCACCCAAGACGTCATCAAGAGAAGGGACTCCAGTAGACATGATCGGGTGAAAGGGAGACAGTGCACATAGTCGAACACCTGGTAAATTTTGTTGGGCCGAAGTTGGCAACCGTCTCTTGAAGGCAGACATGTTCAACAAGGATACGCAGACAGAAGGCCGAGAAGTTGAAGCGGTGAGGGGCGCTTATTTTTCAGCACATGAGAAAAAGCTTCCGTCCCAAAGTTCGCAAACGGACCACTCCGGTCAGCTCTTTCCTGCATTGTTTATCTTCTCCATGAATCGGGTCGTGACCCCATCGGTATTTCGACGACCGGCACTAAGTTGTCGGCTGTTCGGCACCACATTTCTTGTATTGCGTGTGCGACATCAAACAACTGGCGTCGCACCACGGGAAGAAACGAGTTTCTCCATCCCCGACTCATCGGCTGTTCCCTTCGCCGAATATGACGAGCCATCAACATCATCAACGACGACCAGAATACCCGAAGACACGGCCAGATTTAAAACTTCACTTCGCCGTAGGCCACGGGAAAAACTCTTTCACCGAGTACGCTCTAACCCACACATTGATGGATCCGTCGAACTCGTTGCCATTTCCTCGAAGCCTTCCCTCTCAGATCTTGAAAAGCTGAGGCCGCAAGTATTTGTGCCTTCAGATCACGAATCATATCCACAGTTCTATAAGAAGACAGCGGAGATGCTATCTCGCACTTTTTACCGCCACCAATTGATAGAACTCATCAACCAGCTGCAAGTGCGCGTTCATTACAAGGAGAGGAAGACCAGCATAGTCGGGGCATTGTTGGGGCATTGGAATATGCCAGCCCCCATCGAAGTTAAACGTCTGGATGATGAGGTGGCTAATATGGTTGAGCGGGGCGAGTGCACCTTCAGTCCACAGGATCATGTTCTAAGTTACTACCCACAGACTTCCCTCTTCTCCCAAGCCAACTGTTTCTTCTGATGGGCGCGGGTACGCATATCTGATGTTCAAATGAAACTTCAAGTCCTGAATGTCAGTTGACTAGACGGGTCTGACCTCCTGCGCCTATCTCACACATATCAAGCTCGCCTAACACCGATACCCAATCCATTAAGACTTCGAGCGTTTGGTAGGGTCGACTCTCTGGAGGCTATGGCAGCGGAGATACTTGACAGAACATCTGTATGTGCTGCAGTATCCTGTCTCTCCTCTGCTCTCACAGACGTTGTTCCATTAGAGAATGAGATCACATACTGTGAAGCTTCAGTGTGCTGCTGGTGTACGGCCTGACCTGATACAAACAATATCGAGAATTTCAGGTGCTTTCATCGAAAATTCAAGAGAATCTCAAGTGAGTGCAACGCTTTGTCTGCGTTTGTCTTCCCTTGATATCTACTTATAAGCTCCAGGTGCAGATAACCGAATTGGATGAAGAATCAGGAGAGATTGCTCGAAGGTTAGCAGAGAGGGCTGGTATTGAGGTGGGCGTTGATTGCACATTCAGGTGACCAGATGATAAAGAATTATTCAGGCCAGAGATGCGGAGCGAAGGCCAATATCAGCCCATATTTCGGAGGAAGGGGAAACTTCAGACGAGGCGCATTCACCATTTTTCACAGGACATAATTACGCTCTCTATCCCTTCCTTGTGCCAGGCGTCCTGCCCTGGAATATGGGCTACTCAAATCCATTCCGTGTGCGACGTGTTGGAGACTGGCTCCCCGAGGATCAGAGACCGAAGTCCTCCCCACTCATCTCGGCCAGATTGGCTTCCAGAAATGGGTTCGTCATTCATCTCCCCGATAAGCAGTACACTGAAGAATGGGCCAGTGTTTCCAAGACCCTGCGGGAAACCTTGTTCGGAGGACTTCCCCCTCTCCCATTGGGGTTTTCCCGTACTGTCTCTGCGACCGCAGGTTACCATCTCATCAGCGCACCTGAATCGAGATCGCTTGCTAGGGTATCTCTTATGCCACCAATTCGGGATTCATTCGACTTGGACACTTTCTTCGAGTGGCTGAAGGCAGGCAAGGGATCAACAACATTCCTGCCTGGAGTTCCTCCAGATATTAGGGCTGAAACACTAAAACCCAGACGACTAATCGCCATGGAGGACATCTTGATTTATCGGCTCCGTTATCAAGCCCGGGAAGGCTCGAAGGAAGCGAGTAGATCGCCTTCGCGTGCCACACCCTCGGACATCACGGATATCTTGGATGTTCAGATTAACTTTACTCTATGGCACTCCCACACATCAACAAACCAACTATCTGAAACATCAGGACTAGAGAAAGCCCCTCTTGACCGTTTTACCTCTGAATGCAGCACCATACCACCAAGGGTCATGGTAGCACGGCGTGGTACAACTTCAAGCTTGGACGTGCTTCTGCCCGACAGGCAATTTGACATCCGCTTGTCCGTTCTGGACCTGATTCGGATTACATCTCGGGATCTTCCGCAAGACCTGATCGAGCACTTGATAGATTGTCGACAGGCATTGTAAGTGCCTCTTTGTTCTTCTCCGAGTGGGGAAACAATTGACTTGTTCACTAGTTCTGCTAACGGCAAGCTCCCGGAGTCACCATTCAGTGTTGTTGTTGATGGTGTCACGTATTTCTTGATGGCTAACGAGGTTGTTCGCACATCGCAGCGCGAAGAGAGTAATGTTAGCCGTGTCTTTGATGGAGCCGCCCCTCATGGAGAAACAGCAGTAACAATTGTGGAGAAGGTGGCAGATCGTGACGTCCTGGATCAACAAATTCTGCAGTGCTGCGTAAGCCCTCATGTGACCGGTCATGGCATCCACCTGACACCTCCACAAGGTTCATTCTTCTGAACCCCGCCTGGACATTGCATGGGACAAGTTTCTCTCACAGTGTGATCGCATCACCGGATACGACCAGGAAGAGGTGTTGTCGTTTCAGCATTTTACGCTGCCCAGGCACGAGGAGACAAAGCAGAGAATGTATGCATAGCTTGATTATTGTACATCGTATGAATCAAGCAAATTCCTATGGTTTCCTTCCCTTCTTCTGCGCTCGCCGCTTAGTTGCTCGCAACTCCTTCTTTCCCCTTGCGTCAACCATAACATATCGGCCCTTCACACCTTTTGGCCGTCCTTTCAGACCCTTATGAACGCCCTTGGCCACCACTACTTTGACTTCTTCCTTCTTCTTTCCTTTGGAAAGACCTTTCTTCATCAATTTTTCGATCTGGGCCGCCTTCTCTCGCTCTGACATTTCTGTCGTATCACTCACACCCTGAGCTTTTTTCATGGCGGCTTCTAGTCGCCGCACAGCACGGATCTTCTTTCTCGCTTTTGCTTCGGCTACCTTCTTGATGGGTCGAGCATCAAGGGCCCGTTGCTTCGCTCGAATGGCAGCGACAGCATCTTTGGTGATGGGCAAGTTTGTCCGGTAATATTTCTGCTCTTCATCCAGAAACCAAGACGGGAGACCATCCTTATCATTGAATGTCTGTCGGTGGAAGCCGTCATTGATCAGATCGGTCCGCGTTTTTTCGCGATTGACCAATTTTGATGCAAGTGTCAAAGCTTCCGGTGTAAGCAAGCCATATTCTGCCACAAAGAATGAGATTGGACATCACTACATGTAGAGAGGAGACCTGACTTTGTCGATGTAGCTCCTTTATGTCATCCTCATTTTCGTTTTGGGCGTCCCACGTGTCGACCTCGTCCATGTCACGCTCAAGTGGTACGATCTCAAAATCGTCATCGTCGACCTATATAATGTGAGCAAACGAAGCGCAAGCAGAAGGCCCCACTTGCCTCTGTAGGGATCACAGTTTTGACAGATTCCGAATTTCCCTCGTCCTCTATATCGGTTGTATCTTCACCGTCATTGAGGTCGGCTTCATTCTCGTCCTCTCCCAGTGCTTGTATTTCTTGATCGAGATCCTTGAAGACCGCCTGATCAAACCAAACGCTAGCAGCTTTCCCGGGAGGTTCAGCACTGTCCAAGGGGGTAATGAGTTTGCGTCGTCGCTTATTCGGCGCATCCTCAACGTTGCGCTGTCTCTTGATACCCCGTGGCTCGGAGGCATTTTCATGAGCGTCTTCATCTTCTGAATCGGAATCCGTCTCGCAATATCTCTCTTTAGCAGCCTGTACCTTGTCCCAACCCCTCTCTCCTGCCTCACTCTCCTCATCCTCATCTTCACTCTCACTTTGTCCAACTTCACGAATACCCCCCCACTCCTCCAACTCCTTGTTCCTTCTACGCTCCTCTTTGACCATGAACTTGGAATCGCGTTCCTGCATACGCTGACGGTATGCATCATACAACCCATCCAACTCCTCTTCAAGCCGGGATATTTTGGTTTCATCGTCATCCGATTCTTCCATGCTTGCAGGATTACGATTGTTTCGGGTGCCTTCCTCTTCCTCTGCATTCTCGCCGTCTTCTTCCCCCATCTCATCTCCTAGATCATCGACATCCATCTCCTCATGATGAATCGACCGCTCAGCAATACCAAGATCAAACATGTCTGGGCCTCCAGTAAGTCCCTCCTGCTCCATCCCAATATCCATGGGTGCCGTCATTTGTAATTGCATTCGCTGGATTGCCTTTGTCTTGACTTCGTTCGCTCGGCGGCGTTCGCGTTTGCGCCGCGCTGTAGCCTCGGTATTGAGCCTTTCAAGCTCTTCTTGTATTTGCTCTTCCTCGTCGACCCCTTCCGTGACTTCAACCATTTCTGTGAACTCGGCAGTCGGCTTCGAACGAGATTCCAGACCAATCTAAGGCCCCACGATATTAGTACCGCCGGTTCGTCTATAAATTGATGTACCAACCTCCTCGCGAATGGTTGCCCGCCACTTGAGCAGAGCTTTAAAATCACCTTTGCCAAGGACCTTCAGATCCGCACAATTGGCTGAGACATCCTCGGTAGTACACGGAAGCTTGAGCCATCTATAGCACAGTGAGCAACGGGCTACCAGATGCGACAATAACTCACGATTTTTCTTCAGCAGAGATGAAAGTGATCCGATTGTTCGTACCCAATAATGTAATAGGGTCATCGCCTCTCACGAAATCCTCTGCAGTCGCTGAGTGGAATAATGTGTAGTCACCCTCGGCATAACCATCACGTTGACGACGTTTCTTGGAAGGCTGGAAGACGTTTTCGTGTGCATTCACATTCATGGCAGCGTTCTCAGTAGGTTTGGACATAGAGAGTTCTTTGAAAACATGCTTTGGGTTTAGGAACTTGGGGTCAATCTTGGCCGGGGCTAGGAAATCTCGGCACACGACGAAGATTTCTGCGGAGACATTCCTAGACGACGGAGGTTTGGTAGCTTCAACTCTGCCAAAGAGTTGATTGAAGACCCAAAGTAAATTATTGTAGTCGGCGCTACGAAATACCTTCGTGACGAAGGTGCCGCCTTTGATGAGGAATTCGACGGCCAGTTTGAGAGACATTAGGACCAGTTCACTTTGGGTATATGCGTCTTGAACCCAGGCGGTACCGACATTGGGTGCACCGTCATGCAAAACGACATCGGCTTGCCAGTCCTTGAGACTTTCACGGAGGAGGGTGCGGCATCGTGGGGTGGTGATATCTGCTGCATGTGTGATGACTCGGGGGATGGCCTTGATAGGCACGAGATCGACCCCAACAATTACGGAATTTACTGGCATATATTTAGAAGCGACTTGAAGCCATCCACCAGGTGCAGCACAAAGATCGATGCAGCATTTTGCCGATTCGAGGAAGTTATACTTCTTATTCAGCTGTATGAGTTTGAATGCTGACCGGGCACGGTAGCCTTGCTCTCTGTCCAGGTATTAGTGCTTATCATGGCGTGCAAAACATTATGACGCACTTTGCAAGCTTGTAGTATTTATCCAGCCGGCCTTTTCCTGTCTTCTTCTGTTTGTTTCCCATGGCTAATTAGAAGTTTGTAGATGGAGGGAGACACAAGAAAGTCGGTCTGAGTGGTCTACGAGTTGGCTGCTGATCCTCACAACTTTTGAAATTTCGCCAGCCCGGAATCAATTTTTGATATCTGAACGACGACTGTCATCCGCAAGTATTTGTGTCAGTCATCGGTTTAGTCTCACACACCACTCATATCTGCTATTGTGATTGTGGGTCTGTCTCATCGAACATGCCCGTGCCAGAGCCATCTGTCAACGGTTACCATCACGATGCCGACGAAGATATCGACTACACCGACATCGATGAAAAGTACACATCTCTGCCTTAGCATACAAATGGACACTGACGTGGTTGTAGATATGCCGTGCATTACGATGAGTCCTTTTTAGACAATATCATCGTCGTAGATGGCATCCCCATTGTCAAGGCTGAACGGAAGGAACGGCTCGTCACTAAATTAGGCCAGGACTTCAACCGCCTCGGCGCTTCCTTCAAGCCCGGCAGTCTGCATATGCCTTGGGATGATGAAAATGGCCAGAACCGAGGCTATGTTTTTATCGAGTACCCAACGGTTGACCAGGCGAATTCTGCCATCGCAGCTATTCACGGATACCGATTTGATAAGAACCACGCTTTTGCGGCCAACCGTTTCGCCGATATCGAGAAGTTTACAAATATGGAGGAAACATATGTCGAACCTGGGCAGGAGGAGTTCAAGGCCAGAGAGCATCTACGGGCTTGGCTAGGAGACCCGCAGGGACGTGACCAGTACGTGATCCTACGCGGTGACGATCTCCAAGTATTTTGGAACGGTCGGAATGGGTCATCAGCTCTCGTCATCGGACGTCCAGTACGTTATCGATTTTCTTTTCTTATTAACCATAGCTAAACAATAGTAATCCAGCGTTGGACAGAATCCTACGTAGCTTGGTCGCCGGCGGGCACTTTTATGGCGACCTTCCACATCCAAGGTGTCCAATTCTGGGGCGGCCCTTCATGGACTCGCGTCCGTCGACTCGTCCATCCGCACGTCAAGCTCCTTGACTTCTCTCCTGGGGAAAACTATGTTGTTACCTGGTCAAACGAGCCGATCCAGATTCCCGAAAACGCGCGGACTGGCCCCGACATCTTTTCGTCCGACGATGAGGGCAATAGTGTCGCTGTATGGGACCTCAAGTCGGGTTTCGTCCTGCGAACGTTCCCCTCTGGCCAGCAAGGGGAGGATAGCGCAACGAAGAAGATGGTCTGGCCGATGCTCAAGTGGAGTGGTGACGATCGGTATGTCGCGCGCATCCAACCTGGCCAGCAGATCAGCGTGTACGAACTGCCCGGTATGCATCTGGTTGACAAGAAGAGCATTAAGATTGAGGGCATGCAAGACTTTGAATGGTGCCCGTGGGGTGATCGCGATCGGGATGACCAGGATGGAAAGACGAAAGGGAAGAGGGCACGTGAAAATATTCTGGCTTATTGGACCCCAGAGGTGGTCAACCAACCCGCACGTGTGACGCTCATGAGCTTTCCAAGCCGCACACAGCTCCGATCAAAGAACCTCTTCAATGTTTCAGACGTGAGTGACCAATGGTCTGTCGCCTTCAGACGCTTGAATCTCATATCTGTAGTGCAAACTCCACTGGCAAAATCAGGGCGATTTCCTTTGTGTTAAGGTCGACAGGCACACTCGCACGAAGAAGTCTCTTTACTGCAACCTGGAGATCTTCCGGATGCGGGAGAAGGACTTCCCAGTTGAGGTGCTCGAAATTAAGGACGCTGTCATCTCCTTCACGTGGGAACCGCGCGGGGAACGCTTTTGCATCATTACCACTAATGATCCCAACTTCGGCAATGCCGCCCCCGGAATTACAATCAAGACCGCTATTCACTTTTACCAGCTAGAGCGCACCAAGGGCGACTTCCGATTGCTCAGTCAGGCAAATTATTGTCGATTCATGTATCATCACTCATGTTTATATAGAAACAATCGAAAATAAGACTTCGAATTCCGTGTTTTGGTCGCCAAAGGGTCGGCATGTTGTGCTCGCCACGATGGGTTCGCAGAGCAAGTTTGATATGGAGTTTTGGGACCTCGACTTCACCGGTGACGATGCGCCAAGATCAGACAAGGACCCAGGCGCCAATATTCAGCTCCTGAACACCACGGAACACTACGGCGTCACCGATATTGAGTGGGATCCTAGTGGCCGTTTTGTTGCTAGTAGCGCCAGTGCATGGAGGCATACAGTACGGTCGTTATCTTAACTGGTTGTCAGTTCCTGACAGAATATGCAGCTGGAAAATGGGTATGCTCTCTGGGACTTCCGTGGCCAGGAGCTCTCGAAACAAGTCCTGGACCGCTTCAAGCAGTTCCTTTGGAGACCTCGCCCGCGAACACTGCTCAGCAAGGACCAACAGCGTGAGATCCGGAAGAAGTTGCGAGAATACAGCAAGCAGTTCGACGAGGAGGATGCTGCGGAGGAGAGCACCGTCAGCGCAGAGCTAATCGCTTCGCGCAGACGTCTCATCGATGAATGGAATGCTTGGCGGATCAAGGTCAAACGGGAGCTCAAAGAGGAAAAAGGCAAGCGTCCTCAGCAGCGTCACCTGCAGGAGAAGGTGGAGGAATACGTGGATGAGATCATCGAGGAGACGATCGAGGAGGTGCTTGAGTAGGTTGTGTATGCTCTTATAGCAGTCTTTCGATAATGCATGTGTCTTGTTGCTTGCCGCCATAACTTTTCCAAGTACGATAGTGTCCACACTGAGGTCAATGCTGCGAGGGCGTGAGTGAGGCCTTGCATGCTGATTATGCCGGAGAAACGGCGGAAATACTCGCCTTCAGAGGGTCAAGATTTCCGGACATAGATGGAGGTGGCCGCGGCGATGTCCCTAAAGCAGAACATCGCTTCCTCATCCCCATGTTGAGCTGCGTTGAGGGGCATGCGGTGTCTGCCACAGGAAGATGAACAATCCCCATGACGCACAACCCAAGCAAGACCGCATGCAGATACTCCACGGGGTTTGGGCTGTGGATAATTTCAACACATCTCATGCCATGCAGAATACAAGGCTCTTCTCACAGATAAACACCTATCAGATATAGAAAACTGACCGTTCCGCATGCACGAAGCTCACCATGTTACCCGCTCCGCGATCAACTTATGTTGATCATCCCTGTTCCTAGCAATACGTTGTCACACAGATCTCGGAGAATGCCGCGAATATGGCACATCTCGCAAGATAGACTTACGGAGACCCCCACCCGGCACCATGGCGGGCCAATCCTGCCGCAGTGATTGTCCTCCGATCCTTGACTCCCGCTGGTTCTTCATCTCGCAACACACAAAATGCGGATCAACCGGCTCGCGAGCCGAATTGTTCCGCAGCGCAGATGGACCCGCAAGTCGAGATCCAATAAACGAGGATGATGAGGGTTTCGCCTTGGAAAATCATATCAGGTCTATAGCTCAGAAGCGTCCGATCGGGATGAATAATCTCCTTGCTCCACGTAACCATATGTTCCTTGTCACAGGGCATGCACTTATAAAGCCGGAAGAGATCATGTCTTCGACCCAACAAGTCGAATAGTCACACCTGCGATGGGGTGGCTCGGATCCGAGCGGGATCCGGATGGCCATATATGCAGAACTTGGACATCCCGGACACCATTCACGCTTCAGATCGCGATATGGCAAGTCGGGTTACCAATCAAGGTAATGAAGATGGATTGACAAAAGAATAGTATGGTGGAAAGATAATCAGTCTTCCCATCCGGGGATTGAGTATAAGCCTACCAGGAGGCACCAAATTCCAAGGGAATGGGGGGCGCATTGCTTCGCGATAAGATACAGAATCCGTCCCTGACAACCGATCCAAGAGCTTGGAGAAGCGCACACGGGAGACCTGTAGCAGATGGGTCTCCTGTTCTTGGTAGATGAGTAGCGAGGTCAACTTCCTCTTGCTGATGAATCAGTGTAGCAAAGAAAGTCGAAAGGGATGAACGCGGGGGTCGCCTCGTTCACTATGGCCTGTTATTGGCAAAGTACGGGCGACGACGTATGTCGCACTAGATGACCCATCACACCATCGGCACCCGCCAAAAGGAAGGGGAAAGAAGACAAACATGAGCATAATCGTCCGCGGGGTGAGACATTGCCTTCTTCGTTGCTGGTTCGAAGCAACCACTCGGCATCCAGCGAAGGGCAAGAGAGGAAACTTCCAGATGACTTTCCCGGTCGGATCATCAACGCCAGCTGTCCAATCGCGTTCGCTGTTTTATGCGCCTGCATCGCTTTAGCGGGAAGATGTCAGATGGCAATGATAGAATAGCTCGAAAGATAGACGATGTTGATGTTTATTCGAGGGAGAGGTGCGCATCCTCGACGGTTGATCTCCCATAACGAGCCACCCGTGGTTGAGATGGATGTGCGCTAAGGCCTCGGATTGAGGCGGCCGGGCCAGGACGGAAGGGGGGCCGGGGGAAGAAGCCGAGGCCGAAGGCCCGAAGGCTCGGCGATTGCTCTCTAGTCAGATAAGATGAACCCAGGCGGAATCAAATTCGTCGCATGCGCCCGCGCCCTCTGTGACACCACCGTCACTCAGGTTCTTAAAGGGGTCTGATTTCATGCCCTTTCCCAGTCCCTCGTCTTCTCCCCCCAAACATCGCTACCACACTTGACATCCGCCCAGCGCAGCCGCCCACCCAGAAGTTGGATTCATGATGGCTGCAACCGCGCCCTCTCGGAGTACCCAGGTCTTTGCGCAGCCCAGCAAGGAGTGGGTCATCCCGCCCAAACCCAAACCAGGACGGAAGCCTAAATCAGACGAGGCGAAGACACCCGCGGAAACTAAGGTAATGAACCTCGTTCTCGCACTCAAACGGTTTATGTGACATAGATTCTTCTTGTAGGATGCCGACATCGAGCGCAAAGTGTTGAACAGGTAAGCCATGATCGTGCAGATTACGTTATATACTCCTTTGACGTGTGATGTATTATTAGGGCCGCTCAGCGTGCTTTCAGAGAACGGAAGCAGTCCCAGCTGGCGGATCTCCATGCTCGCATCCAAGCATACGAAGCCGGGGAAATTGAAAAAAGCGTCCATCTACAAAAGATCAGCCAGGGGCTGAAGGAAGAAAATATGATACTAAAGAAAGAAAATGCCGACCTAATGGATGAAGTGCGTCGTCTCAGGCAAAGGATCGAAGTGCTGGAGGGTCGTCATTCAGATGACCGCATGTCCGTTGACACATCCCCTCGTCTTCCCAAGAAAAGGCAGCGGCGACATTCCGACCTCACGTACGACCAACGCATGTCATCGCGAGACACCGCGACTTCCAGCGAAACGGCTGCTAGCGGAACGTTGTCGTACCAGACTACATCAACTCCACCGTCTGATGTTTCCATGTCAACCCCGACGCCAATCAAAACGAACATAACGTCCCCCAGCATGGCTATGCTGCCTGTTTCTTTCGAAGCCAGCGCCAATGTTTATGTCGCTGAGAACGGTGGATGCGGCTTCTGCAGTTCATCCACATCTTGCCTCTGCGCGGAAGTTAGCGAATCCGATGCCCTCGCAGCTCAAGCAGCCTTGCTACAGCCGTCCCCGACGGAAGAGAAGCCGAGCGTTGAGTATATACCGTATCAGGCCGCCGTTCCCATCCGTGTGCGAGCGGACCGATCTCAATCATCGGGTGGTGTGACCTGGCTCCTCGAGAACGATACTACCACACCCATAGCCACAACACCTGTTCCGTCCACATCGACAGCACCGGTTGGAACCTGTTCTGGCGACCCCTCAAACTGCCCTGCCTGTGCAAATGATGCCTTTGGGCGCGACTTCTGCTCCAAGCTGGGTGCACTCACGTGCAACCGCAACCCATGCCCTGGCTGCCCGAGTCGAGCGGTCGCCGGTTCGCAATATGGCACAGTTGCCGCAGTCAGTCCTTCGGGCTTGTGCTGCGGTGATCCGTCCTTCTGCGGAGACTTCCGCCTTTGCTCGCCCACTGAACCGCCAACCAGGGCATCCCAGGCAGTACCACCGTCCTTCCCAGACTACGTAAACGACGAAGACACTATCCCGGCTGATGAAGCGTGGAGGACGATCAAACGCCACCCAGGTCTTCCGCTCACGTCGCTTGATCTTCTTGCAGATGTCGTTGCTCGTCGAACTACTTGTGGAGGGCCACCACCCGAGACTGCGGGACCTAGCCGTCCCGCTTGGCCTGGCCGAACGCTCGTCCCTCAAGCAGAGCTCATCGAAGCGGGGCGGAAAAGAAAGATGATGGTGCATCGAGAGGGACTGAGAGACGCACTCGAGCTTCTGGATCAGAGATACGCGGGCAACCACTGATTCGCCCTTACATTTTTTGGAACTGGGTTTGCTTTTTTATTGTGTTTTTCTTTTTGTATTATCACGAGTACGGGAGATGTAGGCAAGCAGGACGTGTGCCAGGATACTGTACATTGTGATGCCACCATGAGAAAGGAACCTATCCTCAGTCCGCCGCTCGCAGTCTTAACTCGGTTGGTGCTGTAAATTTGCTTTCTTCATCAAATGCAGATGGTGATACAATGGCGTGGTCGAACTGGAACGTCCCTTCTCGAACAACATCCCATGAGTTGAAAACGCGCAATTCGGCGGGATGTAGCATGAGGCATGCCTGTAGCTTAAGCGCTTCTCGATCTTTTGAGGACTGTTCGGCCCACTTCTTCCCACTCTCTCTCTCCCATGCCTGTATTGCCTCTCCTCGCATCAACCATATTCGTTTGCCGAGGCGGCGCAGTACTCTTTCCCGGTATTTCGAAATGAAGAAAACACTTCGAGAGACCGTACCGAGAGGATTGGACTCGCTGTAATTGAGCAGACTGCGATTCCCTTTATCGCCAAACACCGTGGTCCAAGAATTGATCACCGCCTTCGTGATATCTTTGGCATGACTATGCCTTTGTGGACCACTCATCTTGCCGTCCGTGACATACCCGCCGTCCCAGCTATGTATGTTGACCGGCTGTGCTTTGTGCTGCGCTGCACGGAAGTTGGCAATAAGAATCGATAAGGGCGCGTGAAGTAATTCGGGGGGAAATGGTGCGACGTAGGACCAGTACTCCAGTAGAACTTGCCGGGCCTCATCCAATTGCTTCGCGCCGTAGTATGCGCCGGCCAGAGCATCAACAGCACCCCAGTCAGGCCGTATGTCGTGCTCCAACATCGTCTGGAAAACACGCATGGCTTCTTCTGGCTCATGTATACCCGCGTAACCGTGCATAAGCACAGTGTAAGTCCGAACGTCCACTTCGAACTTCATGTATCGCATTGCATCGATGATCCTTTCCGCACTTGCCATATTGCCTAGTCGTATGCAGCCACGCATGAGATCAAGCCAATGATGGACATTGGGGCGTATCCCACGATCCAGCATGTCCGCAAGAACGCGCTCGGCGGCAGCCATGTCCCCTTTAGTGATGGCTTCATATCTCAGCCGAAGGTTGTAGGTGAACGCATCAGGAGTTTGGCCTTTATCTTTCAGGGAATCAACTACTGAGTTGAACTCTCCACCGGCGGCATGGGATACGACAAGACCGGCGGTCATCGTCATAGATGGATCGGAGGTGATATGCTCGGGATTGCCTTTGGGCGATATGAGTCTACTGTAAAATGACTTCCATCCAATATTCTGGGACTTTGACTCATTATCTTCCACTGCAGCCAGGAGGAGCTCGTTAAGGTGGTGGAGAGAAGGACCGCGTTGCTTGGTATGGCTGGCCAACGCATTGACTAATTGTGACAACCCCGGGACCTCAACATTCATCCGTTGTCTGACAAACTTCAGGATTAAGAGAACGGTCCGACTGGTCGGTTCGATGTTAGTAGCATGCATTGCGGGAATTAAGAGGAGGACTCCACGAAGACCGGTGTTCTCGAGAACGCCGTGGAGAAGGGCCTCGAATATCTGTATGTCTGGGGAATAGTGTCGAAACCCGATGGAGTTCGGCTCAGCAGGCCAATTGAAAAGCTGCCGCCATGCATTTTGGATATCACTGGACAATTTAGGCCGGCAAATGTCGTACGCTATTCGTCCAGCCATTGACAAGTTCCCGACCTGGATGTGTGCTTCCATAAGGGCCGCAATCGTTTGACCAGTCGGGGTAATGCCGAGCGTTTCCATGTGTCGCCAGAGCTTTGGAACCTCCCCGTAGCCCACAATGTTAGGGAGATGCTTTAGCAGAATCGCGAACGTTCTTGCGTTCGGTGCGAGACTGTTCCGTGCTGTCTCAGCGATGTGCATTGCTTGGTGTCTTTCGGGAATGGGTGAAGGCTCGAACAGATTTAGGATGAAGTTTGCTCCAGAAATGTCGTGGCGAACAAGACAGTCAGTAAGGACCTTGTGAACTTGCTCGCATCCGCCAGTAACAGACAGTCCACGTAAGATGGTGAGAACTCGTTCCTCCACTGTGGACGTATTGCGCGAGGTATACCCTGCTACTAAAGCTTTCCATGTATCTAGATGTTGCGTTAGTAAACAGTTTTGATACCTGGCCGGTAGATCTGCCTACTTGCGGTAATGTGATAGCCCGATGACTTCATGAGATCGATCAACGACTGCACCTTCTCAATATTCGAGACGTGCATCCATCCAGCAATCAAGCGCTCGTACGTCTCCCGATCTGGCTTTATGTTCCATTCCCCAAACTCTGCCAGTATCCCATCGAGACTGCGGTAGTCGCCAAGCCCTACTAATGCGGAGATGCGAAGCTTGAGTATTCGACTGGTTGTTCGGGAAATTTTGGAGTGAACGAGCTCGACGAGGTCCAAGAGCGGCTTCCACGCGAACGCTTCTCCTAATTGCTCCACGATGTTCTCGTACTGCAAAGGAAGTAGGGTGACCCCTGCGTCGTGAAGTTCTTCCAGTATGCTGAAGACGTCGTCATGAAATCCTTGCTTCGCCGACAGCTGGGCGAATAAGTGGGCAAGGTTGGCCTCTCGTATTCGACCAGAATCCCATAACACTTCTCGAATCGATCGTAACCGAGGAATTGCGGCGGGAGCGCGGGGTGGCTGGAGCAGCATCTTCTTGATTTCGTTTTCGAGGCGGGCAGTAGAATATTCCTGCTTGAGGGCCTTGGGAGAAGCATTTCTATCAAATTGAAGTTTTCCCCGCCTATTCTGGCTGGCATGGTGTCGCCACTCTGTCTGAGGGCCGATAGATTTACTGTGCATTGCTTCTGGGAGCTCGACATCCTGCCCCTTGCCACGGGAGGCTGAAGTAGAAGCGTAGGTCGATGATTCGGCTTGTTCGTCTATGTACCGAGCGGGTTGAGCTCGGCATGCCACATTAGACAGGTGCTTAAGGAACATCCGCAGGCCGGGAGGTCCTGTTCTCCCGACGAGCATGATGCCTTGTACGATTTAGAACATCATGGTCGAACCATATACTAGGACGCGTTGCGAGCGGACCGGACATAACTCCGCCCCGACATCGAGCAGCAGCCAGGGACCGCCGCGCCTCGCGCCAGGCGCATACAACAAGCAGCGCCTCACAACGACCACGTCTCACTCTCTTCTTGACCTCGACGTCCATCTCAATACTGCCTTTGATCAACCATAACCACTGCAGACGATACCCTTTTGACCGTCTGGCGTTCTACCCACTTCTTATTACTACATCTAATATCGCCGTACATACCCCCAGGACAAGAACTCATATCCTGTTTCTGCATTCTGCCTTAGCGACGTGTCATGAGCTCGACACCAGCAACCTCTCGAGCCCTTCCTGCTCGTTCTACTCCACCGCCAACTTCTGCAGTAGCTCGCAGTGGGGTATCACGGACGGCGTCTGCAAGGAGTAGTCCTGTCAACGGGAGGCCTGCGCCTCCAAGAAAGATGGATAGCGACTCGCCCAACAAGCCGATGAGCGTGAAGGAACAGCTAGAAATGCAGCTGCGGAGGGAGCAGGAAGAGAAAGGGAACGTGGGTGACTTGATGGACAATTACAGAGCCTTACTGATGATGTGAGGTGAATAGCTGTCCCTCAGACTAGAAGATGCTACCAAAGCTATACAAGAGCACGACTCAATCAATGTGTCTCTTCGTTCCTCTCTTCAGCTTGCCGAATCCAGGCTTGCACAGCTCTCCGCCGATGCTCTGCGCACGGAAACGTCCATGTCCGATCAAACCGACCTTGTTTCCGCCCTTCGTGAGCAGCTCGCCTCCATGGAACGAGAAAGAAGAGAAGTCGAGAAGAGATACAGGGAACAGGCCGAAGCGTTCGAGTTAGAAAGACAGGCGCAGTGGGAAGCAGAGCATGTATCACGTCAACGCCTTGAGAGACTGGAGATACGGTTGAGGAGAGCGGAGGCACGTGTCGTTAAGGGTGGCCTGCAGCCGGAGACGGAAGATGACGGTCAGGAGGAGATTGATAAGGTGGACACGCCGAAGATTGAGAACCTGCCGAAGAGGGAAGACAAGGATCAAGAAGAACCACCTGAGATGACGATGATGCGATTGGAAATGGACAGCTTGAGTGGGGCATTTACCACGCTACAGAACACCCATCAGATACTGTTACAAGAGATGGCGGATTTGAAGAGAGTCAACCAGCAGATTCAGGTATGCTGAGTCGTTTCTTCATGTTCATGCCAATTCTGATCCATCAATACAGGAAGAAAACGAGTCTTACAATGTCCTCCTGCGCGAGCGTACACTCGCAGGAACATTCCATCTCCCCGGCACCTCTCCTTACTCTGATAATGTCTCGCTGGACGAAGACGTTTACTCCAAAGCCGGTTCTCGTCTTGACCCAGTGTCGGAGGATGCTGAAGTCCGGGAACTTGAAGGTGGCGACCAGTTCCCGGTTTTGTCCAGCAAACGCGACAGTAGTCCTGTCAGCAGCGTGCCATCCAGCCGTCAGAGAAGGCGACGTGCCAGCGCAGGCAGTGCCAAGGGTGTTGGGGAGAGCCTCGCTGGGTTCCCAGTTTCCGGACCAGGAGAGGATCTCGCTGCAGAGCTCGGGAGGGCGGAGGCCAGGGACGGCGTACCCGAAGTGGCAGTGGAGAGCCCCAAGAATCCCAAAAAGGAGGACAACTCGTCCGTTGCATGTACGCCTCCCCCCTACAACAGGTGTTCATGAACAACTCTAACTTGGCAGATACAGCGATGCGCGCGGAAATCCAGGCTCTCAAGGATGCCAATAAGGCCCTCTCGCTGTATGCCGCCAAAATCCTCGACAGGATTATTGCCGATGAGGGGTTCGAGCATGTCCTCGCAGCGGACTATAACAAGGATGGGCCAGCAAATGCCCATACTTCAACTAATAGGCCAGATCGCACCTCTTCTCTAACGCGTTCGAAGACTGTAGCTGGACATGGTCGTCGGCCAGCCAGTGCTACCCTTTCTGGTGTGCGGGATCAGCCACAGGAGCAGATTCCAAACCACAATGCGCCGCCACCCATGATGGCGTCTAAGTCTGAGCCTCCATCTTCAATGCAACAGCAGCCGAAGCGCCGGTCAATGTCGATTGACTGGAAAGGCTTGTGGGGAGGGGGGACACAGGAGAAGAAGAATGAAAGCCTTCGCCCGTTGTCCCTAGCGACCGCTGCAACGCCGGCTCCACCGAAACCACCGATGCACACCGTTGTGCCCACGCGAACTCGTTTCATTCCTCGTGATACTGAGGAAGATGAGGAAGACCAGCGGGAGAGGGAACGGCTTAATGCGACCATGAAGCTGATGGGCATTGAACGTGCCAGTTCGTATAGGCAGAGCGAACAGCCAGCGGATGACCTGAGTCATTTGGACGCTGCACGTCACTCAACGACGTTCGCCAGCGATATCGCGACAAAGGGCGACAGGCGGAGGACAAGCTTGATGAGGTCGCCTTCTCCGAACACGGTAGGTTTGCCTGGCTCTACCCCTCAACAGAGGGTATCTTCAACCATGTCCTATCGCCTTTCTTCAGATTTTAGTACCAACGGCGGACTGACATCTGATGCTCTGGCGGAAGCGGGCGCTGCGCATGCCCTTGCGGAGCTCGACGCGGAGGAAAGGCGGATCTCGGAGCAGCTTGCGAAGGGAAAGATTCACCACGGCGGATTCACACCGAGTGCAAGAGAACTGGCAGAAGCAAACACGGAAAATGGGGCAAGTGGCGGAACCGGGCTGATGAGACGATCCAGTCGCCGAGCGCGGACAGGCAGGGAGAGCTCGGGCACGATGAGCGTGGGCAGCGTTAGCACAGTGTGGAGTGCTGGGCGCACGAGTGGGAGTAGCACTGGGGATGGCGCCGCCGAGTAAACATGAATAGAGGCGGATCAATCGGGACCTGCACATGGCTTATAACTAATCCTTTCTTTTTACGACCATCGCCGCTTTTGGGTCTTCATCTTTAATGCTATGTAACGATTTATTCTTGCGTGTTCGGACGTTGTCTTCTTTGGAAACGTCACTGGCTCGCCCTCAACGAGTGTCCCACATGCGTCGACACCATTCCCCTAACGATGGTAGGTGTGTTTCCACACCCGATCAGATCGAGATCAGTGGTTGGAAGGTCTAGTATGCACAAATCTTGTAGTCCCAGCTGGTTCTTCTCACCCGCACGAGACTGACTTTGCATCAACAACGCATTCCACGTGATCTAAATCCCGCGATCAGATAAGGTCAAAGACATTGGCCACCGATCTCGATCAGCAGTGGCCCATCGGGTTAGAACAGTGATTGCAGAGGCATGGAGCTATATGACCGACCAGGTCACGGGTATTACACTAAGCTGCTTCTGGATGTATGTGCCAGTACACGCACATTCGCGTGCTAGTTGTAAGTTGCCTTTCCATTTCTCTCACCGGCGACAAGTCAGCATCTCAGTAGAGCACCAGCTTTACTCCCCCATTAATCCTTACTCCCATTCCAGACAATCCCGGACCACCTAGGAAAACCATGAAAACTTCATTCCATTCCCTCCCTCCTCCAATACAAATACAACAAACGACAAACGACATGCGACGAACGAGGAACAACGAATGAGGAACAACGAAAGCCATAGTTGGGTTAAGTGAGTTTAACGATACATTGTATGGGGGTTGGTATCGGTTCTGGTTCTTTTGTTGGGATCGTTGATTGGGTTTTTGCACTGGGAGATATGGGTCGGGCGGGGAGTGGGGATACGGGGCGGGGATGGGGCGGGGATGGGGATGCAGCGAGACTGACGGTGTGGAGGAGACCAGGAAAACGATGCGTTCAGCGGCTTCCGATGTCGAAGACGACGACGGGAGCATTGCTCGCGGGATAGAGAGACGATGCTCGCCCTGCAGCCACTTTGAAGCGCTGGGGACACGGCTGCACTGTTGTGGTCGGTCGGGGCGAGAGTCTGCGAGGCCCAGTCCCGCAAGTGTAAGACAGCGTGCAATAGCTCAATCGGTGTGCCAGCCGCCATCGGGGTTCTAAACCGCCCCATCCCCCAAGGCGCTCCAGCGATAATCCACAGTCCTAACCTTGACCCTCTCGAATATCCTAAACAGGCTAATGATCAAATTCGAGCAATAGCTGCACAGGCCCACGAGGACCAAGCCGATCAGCGCCGCCTGGAGTCTGCATACATCTTGGCCTATGTCCGAGTCGTCTGGGGAGAGAGGGTTCGGTGTTGGCGGCTGGTCAGACCACCAGGATGTCAGGTTTCGCGGTGCACACCGGAGGGGTGTCGTTAGGTAGTTGTCGATCGCTAGTGAGAGAGCGGAGGACCAGAGACAGACGAAGATGACTTCTACGAGGGTGTACGCGAGCTTGGCTGAGGTGCGCCAGAGGCCTAATGGGCGGCCGTAATATTCCAGCTGCAGGAGAGTTACATATATGTAGGTAAAGAGGTGGGGGACGCACGTAGATGGCGATGACGACGTGGATCAGGGTCAGAGGAGCAAAGACGATCGTTACTGCTGTTGAACTGCCTAGAACGCCTTCTACACCCGCGTGCCGTTCCTCGAGCTGCATTCGGATCGCGACCGCCAAAGCGATAGTTGTGAATATGAGGTTGAGCAGTCTGAAGAGCTGAACACATGTCAGCGCATTCTACATTGCGACAGAGGGGACGCACCAGAGGAGTACTAGAATGATACAAGCAGAAATTCCTCCATCTCTTCTTGCCCTTCTTCCACCGAGACTCCGTGCTCCCGCCTTGCGCGCTCTTCTCCCCATTGGGGTCCATTCGGGACTTACTGCGTCCCCTAGTCAGGCCTTCCACATTCTCAGGCTGCGCCGGGTCGAGTTGTCGCACAGGTGGGGGGACGGCTCCGCTCAGATCCCAGCCGTAGTCCTCACCTTCACCCTGTCGCTCCCCTTCCCTCTGCGCACCAGGATGAAGCACCCAACCCGGTCTCCAGGGTGTTTCCCACCCCGGTGTCAAGACCTGCCTAACCGTGCCCATAGGCAGTACCTCCGAATGGGAAAGGTCGAGGTGCATGCTTGCTGGTCTGTGTAGACTTGGAGGACGGGCGGCGGCAATGGTCGTCCCTAGCGCATGGGGGTACTGCAGGGAGCGGAGGACGGTGCTTGGGGATGCAGGGGTGCTTGACGCTTGTGGGTGGGAGTGGGAGAGGGGAAGAGGAACGGTAGGGAGTGTGAGATGTCGCTGTAGCCCTGCGCGAGGGAAGAAGCTGCCTAACGTGCGGGCCTTGCGCGAGTCGGGTGATGTAGGTGAAGCTGGGAAGATGGCGACTGTTGGTAGGTCGAGATGCCCGTCCTGTGGTCGGGGTGTTTCCTCTGCGTGCTCCTTCTCCTGCCCTGGTAATGGTCTGCCCCTCGGCAGTGGGTGGGTGACAAACGTCCACCAGCTGGTTTCTGCCCCGTGATGGGCATAGGAGGAAGCAGAGGATGAAGGTGGGTGTTCGGAGGGGACGGGAGAGAGGGAAAGGGGTGGGATGGTATCGGACGGACGGAGGATTGTGTCTACTATCGGGGAGACATAAGGTGTCTCGATGGGTGATTCAGGTTCGTTGCGTGCCCATGCTATACGTTGTTTAGGCAGGTTAAGAGTGAGGAATAGGTATGGGCGTACGAGGCACTGTGGTCACTTTCCTCGTCGGGGGAGAACGAGACCTCACGCTTGGAGTCGCTGTCCTACTTGGTCGTAGTCCCGGTGAGATGGGTGTTGCGGCGCGTGAAGGACGCAGACCGGGTGAACCGGGGTTGGATCGTCCAGAAGCGGACATCTAGGGTGTAGTGAAGGAGACACGAGAGAGAGAAAAAGATATATATGATTGACCGGTTAGAGGAGCATCCTTCCGGCTTTTGAGTTGTAAATATCGGAAGATAGACAGGAGAGAGAGGGGAGGAATAATGAGAGGAGGAAGAGAGAGAGAGAGGAGAGATGGAACACTGCTGAATGAGAAATGGGTACTAGCGTTTCCTCCATGGCCGATCCTCCGAATGCGCGCGCCTACAGAACACCGGCTCATCATGCCGGTGCCGCTTGTCTTCCCACGTTCACCTTGCGCCCGCAGCCTCGCTCTGCACCGACATCGGCACACACGTGCGGGGCAATGTCTTAGGGGGGATCACCTCCTCATTCCACACCGGTGGAAAACATCACGCTACGATCCGGAGTGGAAGGGATACGCTCCTACTGATCAATAATCAGATATCCGTGATTGGCACCATCCCCTTCACTTTCCCTCATCTTCACGGACGTCACACGGACATCCGGCCCAGGAATGGAAGGTCATCTGCCCATCCGGGGTTGATGCTTCCCCAGATGCAGGGCGCGTCCGACATCGGCGGACGCTGGCCAGCCCTCACTGCGCGCATTACCAGAGCGCAGTGCACCGCTGCTCCAACTTTCCCACAGCAATATTTACTTTTGCGTCTGCGCTTGGTTTCACACCCCTTCTGGTAGCATCTGTTTGCCAGCGTGCCTGGTTGGGACGTTCTTGCCGCATGACCGCGGCTCTTGTTGCTGCCCAGACGCTCGCGGTGCACATAGAAAACAGTTGATCTGAACTGGAATGTCAGTAGAATCGTGTTTGATCAGCAGGTGGGCCGGAGAATGATAGGGGTAGCAATGCAGTGATCCCGGAGTGAATGAGGTTGTCAAGGGATCGTATCCGGGCATATGGATCGTGTGCTGAATGTGTGTATCTCTTAAGCTTGGCATTCGCCTGTAATAGAAGGCTGTTGCGTTCCTCGCGATACAGTGGCTCGACCGCTCCCTCCAGACAGTGAATACCTGATGACCGAGTTCAATTCTTGTATCATAATCTAATAGGCCCCCGCGCTCAGTTCCGTTCCTTCAAAGCTGACTTCAACCTCCTTTGGCTCCTTCCCAATCCCTCTTCTGACTGCTTCATCTAACATGGCCTTGGTCGCTGTCGCGCCTACTCTCGTGACCCCGAGTGCTCGGACTCGGAGCAGGTCGTCCAGCGTTCGAACCCCGCCTGCAGCCTTAATCTGTACTGACGGGTCGGTACTGCAAACACCGGTGTCACTAAGAGTTGAACAACACAAGTAACAGGAACGCACTGTTTTCGCATCAGCGCTAGATGAGGCAACGTCGCCCCCTTGTAGGTGTACTTCCCATCCTCGCCCTTGACGAACCCATACCCGGTCGAGGTCTTGACGAACGCGACGCGTACGCGCGAGCATATCTCACACAACTTGACGATATGCCTGTCTTGCAGGTAATCATTCTATGCAAGAGTCACTTCTGGGCTGCTCTGCTCAGGAAGCAGGATGCCAGGGTCACGCACCTCGAATATCACTTTGAGGATCGCACCGCGTGAAGTGACAGCATCGTTCACTGCCCTGATCTCGTCCTCCACATACGCCCACTCCCCACTCAGCGCTTTCCCAATATTGATCACCATGTCTATTTCCTCTCCTCCCTAGTCACGTCAGTCCGCATTCGCAGGAGCAGAGAGACGTGCGAACCGCTTCGACAGCCTCGACAGCTTCGAATTCTTTCACCTTGGTCGTACTGTTCCCATGGGGGAAGCCGATCACAGGACATACTTTGACGCTCGTGCCCGCGAGATACTCCTTCGCCAGAGGGATCGAATACGGTTTAACGCACGCAGTCGCAGTGTTGTATCTTCATGTCTGTCAGCCTCGGTAGATTGATTATGGTAGGGAAAAGCATGCGCACTCTTTCGCTTGTTCTAGACCGGCGATGATCTCTGCGTCTGTCATTGTCGGATGCAGGAGGGAGACGTCGATCATCTTCGCCAAGTCGGAGAGGGTCACGGTTATCCTCTTGGTCGACATAGTCACGATCGTAGGCAGTACAAAATATTTGAGTGGTTATAGGGGATTTGGCAACTGCGTCCGGTAGAGCTGTAAGAGAGAGCGTGGAGAGGAGAGTACATGGCCAGCTATATGGTCCGGAGGAGGGAGGGCGTGACCTGTGAGTAGGTCCGGGCTCGGTCCGACCCAGTCGGCGCGCAACTCACGGACCTGTCTTATTGTTGTTGAGCACTAGTGGTTGTTGGCCTGGCTCTGCACTCAATCGCTTGTGCAGGCTACTCTTTCCACAGAGACACATCTCTATCACCGTCCGGAGAGAACACAGCTCAACTTGGTGCGTGCTCGCCTTGGTTCTGCTAGAAAGTGCCTCATTTTCCGCCTAGATCACCTGCCTCTTACAAGGACCGCGTTGCAACCGTACTATCGGGTACAATGACCACTATGAGAAACCCCGAGGCCCGCTCTCGTCCTGGTATCTTCTCCCGTGCAAAGCATAACAATGCTACCGTCCGTGCTGCAAATCGTTGGGTCGGAGATAAGTTCCCAGAGGAACCCTCGGAAGACCTTCCTGTTCAGCTTCGACTGGACGTCTCTCCCGATATCCTTCAAGCTCAGCCAGACATGCCCTCTCACGTCTACATGGTATGGGTGATCGGCACAATGATGGAGCACGGAGTCCAGCAGGTCGTCGAACGACGAGTGCACCTCACTGGTAGCCCCGGCGACTATGCGCACTACACGGACGATATCCGCGCCGTCGAGGCTGCCTCTACTTCTTACACCGAGCTCCTACTCGGGAACTACACCGCCCTGCAGCGCAAGCGCATCTTGACTCTCGCCGAAGACGTCCCGTTCAGTCCTCACTGGGCTAGGAACACGTGCAAGACGTGGATGTGGCTCTTGCTAAGCGCGATGAACACGGAAGGCTTGCTGAATCCTCCTCTCCTGGCTGGGACGACCCAAGAGACGGCCATCGCGGATCCACGGGAGAACGCGCTCGGTCAACAGTTGATCGATCGGCTCGTCACCGGTCGACCGCTATGGTTGCGCGCGCTCGCCGCGGAAGCGTAGGCAACGCACTTGTATCGAGTAAGGACCGAATACCAGCCACACTAGGAGCATACCACAATGTTAATCTGAGAGTTGTCGAATCCCAGCCAGAACAGTACCCAATGACACTGTGCAACGGAGTACATCACATGAGAGAAACGCCCGAGAGAACGCAGCCTAAACGAGAGCATCATTTAGACCTTACTGGGAACGGCTCGACTTAGCCCTTCCTTATATCAACGGCATTTGCAAGTTATTGCAGACCAAGAAATGGTGCGCAGACGACCAGGAAAGGCGCATGACAGGTCCATGGTTGCAAAAGGAGGGTGCAGAATGATTACATTGCAGCATCACCATCTCGTGCCTGGCTCGAAAGGCAGGCCTACATCACATAAGGAAGAGTAGAAAACGACGACCAGTAATGCTCAGCGCAGACGACTATGGATAGAGTCAGCGAGATGCGTCAAATGAGAGGGCTGTATGACGTACCGAGCCTCACGCTCCGACTCGAGCAGGGCCAGGATGTCATCCTCCTTAATGGGCCCCTTGCAATTACGGATGATGCTTCGCGAAGTGTCGTCCATAAACTCTACACGCACTTGCGTAACACCTCCCCGAGAGCCAGTACGGCCCAAAACCTAGCACGGTGTTAACATTGACCTGCCCGCCCACACTGGCACGGTGATGGCACCGGACGCACCTTGATAACACGAGCGAGCTTGACGGGTGCCTTGGTGGATGTATCCTATTCCCTCAATCAGCTATTATCCTCTCAATATTCGGTATGCAAACTCACCATCTTTTAGTTTTGACCTTTGAGGGACGATGAGCGACTCTGTGCCGACGGCGTGTGATGCGATGTCGAGGAGACGAGAGAAGCTGAGTGAAGTTTTGATCCCGAGGTACTGTACAGTACCAACTTAGGGGCACCGGAGAAACCAGCCTTCGGCTCCGGAATTAGTGGCAGTGTTACCTGCTGGCGCCACGCGGCATGTCTAGTGTCGTAGCTGTGACTCAAAGTACTCCATTCGTCGAGTTACTCAACTTGATATCATGTCGACTTATGGTCGGACACCATCAACGTCGACCAATATACCGATGGCGTCGACAAGCCAGCAGGTAATCCCCTTCTCTGAGCGACCAACGTCACTCAATCAGCAGGTCGTCCTCGAGGTGCGTCTCATCAGCAACGCATACTGTTCGAAAGCGAAATTAATACCCTTTTCAGGAAGATGAATACACCGCCGCGCTCTCGCATATCATTGCACGCGATTTCTTTCCATCTATAGAAGGGATGGACGCTACGAACGAGTATCTCGCCGCACTGGATAGTGGTGACGAACAACGGATCACGTCGAGTGTGCGGCACCTCACCGCGCTGAACGATAGGACCCCCCTAGCCTCCTCCTCATATGCTGCTACACCTTTAGGCTCAACTCGTCTCCAGCCGCAAAGCAGGAAACGGACGCATGCAGAGATGTACGGCAGTCTGGGACTGGACGACTTCCAAACCAACTTTACGAGCGAAGATAACGCCAGCTTCACAAGTATCCTAGATGATGAGAATAAGAAAAGGAAGGAGAGATGGGGATGGGCTTATGAAGCTGAGCAGAAGGCCAAAGTGAAGGCACTGGAGTGGAAGGAGAAGCGAGCGAGACTGATCACTGCCCCATCGGATGGAGAAGGCGCCGAACAGAAGTTACTCACAGATGGATCCGACAAGACCAGAGGTAAGGAAAAGGGGACGGAGATTATTACAGAAGAGGGTACGGGAAATGATGATGAAGACGACGAAGCATCGGTTCTTGCGCTGGTTCTGGATAGCGATGAAGACAAAGCACTTGTCCCTTCAAGCTCTTCGAGCGCTCCCAAGCCGCCGCAGGAGCCTGAATCGGGCCCGTGGGATCCGAACAACATTCTCTCACGAACGGTGGATAAACGTTCTGCCACTGTCCCCACCTGGACATTCAAGACTCGGAACGCGTTCATGTTCCCACCCGACGCCGACTCATCGCCCTATCATCCCCCTCCTCCTCCTGCACCTGGCGTCGACTCCTCGGCAGCGGCACCACAGAAGGTGATCAACCACTCAAACACGCGCTTGCTGGAACAGGAAGACGAGAAGATACAGGAACCGCCCAGTCCATCAAGGAGCAGGATCTCGCGCACTATCCGCGGGGACATCTCAGCTTTGTCAAGCGACGGCCCCTCAGAAGCAGAAGGCCCACGGGGATCCTACCCACTGGTGGACGCTATTCCGAGCCCGTCTCCGGAGATGCTCGGACCAGGAAGACTGAAGCAGCTCATGACCTGGGGCAAGCTGTCAGCAACTCCACGCGCGCTTCCTTCGGAAGGTGACGGCCAGGCGGGAGTCGAAAATAGCCCATTCCGCATAGCTCCCCCAACTCCCAGAGATGATCTCGCACGCCGGCTGGGTACCACCGCCTCACGTAGTTTGAGGGAGAAGGCAGCGCTCTATGCGTCTACACCGGCGGCCTCTGTCTACTCGACACCGAGCACTGTTCGTTCCGCATGGGCGGGGACGCCCACCGGGAGAGGGAGCATGCCGCCACCTTCTTTCATCCCTAGCGCGAAACGTGGGGACTTGTTGAGCGCAGCAGGGAAGAGTCTGCTCAGCCGGGCTGGCGCAAAGAGCAGCGGAGTGGGAGAGGAGCTGCAGCGGACAGCAGCTAAGAGACGTGCGGAAGCCATGACTCGTACTAGTGGCTGGGAAGGAGTCTCGAGGCCCGGGAACGCTGGTGGTGGAAGACTGGGAGGGGCGAGATGGACGCCGAGCCCGAGTCCGAGGAGAAGTGCAGAAGAGTAATGTGCCTTCCTAGGGGATGTCTAGTGTTTGTATTGATGGAATTTGGACTGTAGATCACTGTAGGTATACACCAGAATGATAACCCCTCCACGCCTGTGGGACTGCTCTGGTTTGCTGTGTTTGCCACCAGACTCTAAGCGACTTGTATCATTCCCCAAGTTCGACTTCGGAGGGGGAAAATACGAAATAGAGTAGCCATTAGCTGCTCTTGACACCGAGTGGTCTCAAGTGCGATTATGCCCTACTCGTTCCAACTCGTCTAGAGTATGTCAATATCAGCGTCGAAGTGTCGACACCGACCCTTCGAAGTAAATTCTAGTGCCGTGCTAGAAGACCTCAATCTTGTACGATACATACGTGGAAGAGACATCTGTGCGACGCTCGGCCAAGCTCCGAAGGTCGCTCAGTGCGAATATGCTCTGTAAGTTGAGGATCTGTGCCCGCCGGCCGTCTCATCATGGGTTTCAGCTACGAGGGGCAGATAATATCAATCGTTTATTCTGCATGACGATTCTATATCACAAGCAGGGAAGGCAGGTCTGCACTGTAGACCACGGCCATGATAAGATCATATGCACTTCGAGCCAAATCTACCTGGCGACAAAGGTGGCTCTAAAGCCGCATCGACTTCAAAGGCATCCTTCGTCATACATGACGCAATGTGCATAAGTATCCCAGCCGGTGCGCGGACTGAATTATGACATAGTACTAATACACGCATACAGGAAAGTACGTCAACATCCCAAGAAAGAAACATATTTCGAATGTACCATAGCTAACTATCATCGCATAATCTGCGCATTTCTGTTTGGAAATACCAGTTCTCCTAGATCACCCGCATGCCCATCAGTGCGCACGCAATAGTCGTCCCGAGCAAGCAGAGCGACGTCAGCGCCCAGACACACCTCCAGGCCCAATGGCGCTCTGCGCGTCCGTAGAGGTCGATCAGCGGCTGCGTCCACACGGTATCGAGGTTCGCTGGACGGGGGTCTTTGGTGTACTCTGGTGCCGAGGACTCGGAGGTGGGAGATGTGGTCGCTGAGTTGTCGGGATGGTCCGGAGAGGTTGGGGGGAGCGGGTATGCGTGCAGGGGAACGCAGAGGATGCAAGCACCGACGAGCCACAGCAGGGGGAACACTAATCATGTTCGTTAGTAACGCTGCCATTGTCATAGGAGAGAGGCGACGTACTGAACCCAAAGATGAATAGCTTTTTGGCTATCGTGTCAGGCTCGTTCGGCTCATCGGCTTCGTGGCAGTACATGGGGAGAGGATTGGGGAGACCGAGCTCGCGTGCCCCTGCCGCTAGTTCGCGGGGGTCGGCGTACTCGCGCGGACGGCCGGGTTCGGTAAGGGCGGTGAGCATGCTGTTGTAGCCAAAATTCTCGAGGTCGAGTGTTTCGGAGTAGTAGGGAGGGGCAGGGGAGGAGGAGAGGACCCAGTTACCGGAGGGGGTACGTCTTGGGGGGATGTGAGCTTCGGGGGGAGGGGCGACGGTGCAGATGAAGGTGCCAACGAAGGGGATGCGTATGGACATGACGCAAGATGGGCGGGGGTTATATGGGATAAAGGACAAGAGAAGGGGGGTGAAAGGGAAGGAGGCAAACGGAAGAGAAGGAAGGGGAGAGCACAGCGCTTTTGTTTTACTCTCGGGGAGAATCTAGTTTAGGCAGAGTGGATGAATAGCCTGAATGGTCGCTGGCAATTGGGGGGGAGAAAGAGAGAACGACTCCTACTCTTTTGCCCCTGCCAATTTGGCGAGTTTATGAGCGTTTGTAGGTGTGTCGGTGTCGCCCCATCATACTGTAAAATTATTCATGGAAGGGCATGGAAAAGCTGTAAACAGAGGAATTGCGTTGGATTGGCCACTGACACTTCAACGGGCAATCACACACGCCAACCAATCATCTTTCTCCACTCAGATTTAGCGCAACGGATTCAGATGGAAGACAACGAGAAAGGGTCTGCATAAAAGAAGCTCTTTTGTGTGCCCTTCCCCTTCACACCCAGTTGTGACGCCCCACAACACCTCCCTGACCTTCCTCCCTTCTCATTCGCAACTATAAAGATTTCTCAAAGGTTCCCGCTATTCACAACTCAATCGATACCATCCTCACATCTCTCTGCACCCTATGCAGTATGCACTCGAAGGCTGACCTCGCTCCTCCGGAAGAATTTGAGTGCTCGGCTCTGACGGGCCATTGACGCGACTTTCTCGCCATGGGTATCACTCGTTCTCCATCGTCGTCTTCTCGGTTGTAAAGAATTCTATTCGGACCTTCAACACGCGTTTCTCTCTTGGCACTCAAAACCTGTGTTCTGCTTTTGAAAGCTGCTCATCACCGGCACAGCTTCAGGCGTCGACCCCTCCGGAAGCAGAACTGTATAGCTGCCTCAGCGACAACTGTCTTCTGCGTCGAGACCTCATCTCAAGTATCTCCACATCTCTTATGACTGAATGAGATCTTCTTCTTCTTCTTCTTGTTAACTGTCAACCCTGACGCCAGCTCCTTCATATCCCACGGGCGGCTTGCACGACGCCGACAGGGACGGTTACCCGCGTGCCTGCACGCGTCGCCAGCCTATCTCCGCACCCCGATCCTTCCCAATCTGGATACGAGCATTACCATCTCTGGCATCGTTTTTTTTCAAGTCACAAACCATCAGATCTCGTATCTTTCTCATCCGATGTCGCCCGTATCGCAGGGTACCTTGGTTGCTATCTTTCGTTTGCCACATACCTGGATACGTGTTGGAGTCATCACTGGCCAAATGTCTGGCCGGAGCAGTTCGGACTGTTTGCGGACAGACGCTGCTATTCTCGGTGGCAGTTCACTGAGCAAGTTTAGAGAATGGGCGATCTGCTGTTCCAGAGCCGCGAATCAATCTACCGCCGTACGCGACGTCGTTCTACGCCTATTTTTGCCCCTCCTTATTTCCCAAAAACCGCAAAAACAATCCCATGAAAGACACGTCTCTTCCAACATACTCCCAATCCTACGCTTCTCGCAAACCGATCAACCCGCAATACCTCCCCAGTCATGCAGTCACCCAGCGCACGCTCCGTCCTTGCCCGGTCTAGCCCCCCCGCCTACCCCTCACCTGGATGGGCCAGCCAGCACAGTACCCAACATGCCCGAATTCGTCGCGCCATTCCCGGTGGAGGCGGCGCATGGTGGATAATTCTGCGAATTCCAATCATCCCGCTATCTCTAGTACGAATACTTCAGGCTGGCACGCTGTACACACAGGAAGCAGATAGAGGGGGCGAGGGAGAGAGGTAGAAAGCATGTGATTGTTCTGTTTTTCTGTGATAAATATACAACTTTACTTTCTGGCCCAAGGGGATTATGTAGTTCCTATCCCTGTCCTACGGGACAGAGAGGACAAAGTAGACAAGAGACAAAGTAGACATACATCAGTCTGCCATGATTCATGACATGCACTGTTAATTGTGCGAGCTTGAGCTGGTGCAAAAAAGGGGAAGGAAGACGAGAAGTGGAAGTGGATGAAAGACGCTCCAAGCGGGCGGGTGTGACAAGCGAAAGAAGAATTACAGATTAGACCCGCTTGGGAGTCGGAAAAGACCTGGAGGGCCCGAAGGCCAGCTCTTGTGGAGATACGGACAGGCCATGTGCGCCTAGAGCCTCCCTCCCCACCGGATGAGGATCCCAGGCCCAGTCGGATGCGGATGGGACAACCAACTGCAAAGAAGGAGAATAAATATCACAGCCGAGAGCCGAGCCGTCAAAGTCGAATTGGGAGGAAAAGAGACCGGAGACCAGAGACCAGAGACCGATTAGCTGGACCAACAGATGAGAGTGAAGTGAGAAGAAGGGGAAGAACCAGAGACCCAAGGCTGAGACTGAACCGTTCTTTTTGGGTTTTCTTGCGTGCGGGGGTTAGAGTACATTGAGTGACTTGCGAAAGTGCGGAGTGATGATCGGGATGGGAAGGGAACGATTAATGGTTTTTTGACCATGCGAGGAAATCGAGGGCGGGAAGTGTTGTCTGCCGGAAGGCAGGGGCAGCTACCGGCTTGTAGACGGGTGACTGGGCGTTGTGGGCGTCTTGGGGTCCACCTCTGGCACGGGGACGTACTGCGATCTCTGAGCGCCAGGGGGATGATATGCCGGCGAAGGCGGGGTAGGCTCTGCCAGCACTTCCCGCGTCTCCGCCACGGGGCCAAGCGTAAGTCGCTGGATCTACAGTAGTGCATCAGTAAGTGCCCACAACTTCAGAGATAGACATACGGCAATCGGCACTTCCCCAACCCCGGTCTCGTCCTTCCCCTCCTCTCCCTCCGGTTTCTCCCCAACAAGCGTGTCCACCGTCTCCCACGTCGCCATCGTCTCTAGACCCTCTTCGTCCCACTCGTCCCTAATCGTCCCGTCCGGATTCCGGGCAGGGGCCGGATTAGGCTGCAGCTCGTGCGAGTGCTCCGAGGTGTTGTCCCTCGGAGTGCGGGCGAGCGCTGGTACGCGCTTTTTTCGCCTAGCGAAGGCTGAGCGGGGGATCCGGACTGTTTGAGGTACTGGCTGCGCTCCTATTGCTGGGGGGAGACCGACTGAGACGCTCGTCGTTGTGGGGTTTGCTGCTCGCCGGCGACCCTTATATGCCCACCAGAGGAAGCCTCCTGCTGCTACGAGGACAGCTGCGCAGGATACGAAGCCTATTACACCTAGCTGACCGGCAGAGTAGTGCGCTGGGTAGTCGTCTGGTGTGGGGTTGCAGGAATTTGAGAATGCGCCTGATGAGGGGGAGTCGGGGCATGGTGGGAGGGAGGTCGCGTTTGACTGGGAGGTCGTTTCTGTTATTCCTGCGTTGGAGAGAGCAATGCTGCTTAGGCGGACGAGGAGGGGAGCCATCGTGTGAGAGGGGCCAGCGTAGAGAGAATAGCAGAGAGAGCAGAGGGATGAAGAAGAGGAAAGGGAGATGCGAGCACGTGGGAAGGCGAGTGATAGCCAGCGAGTGGGATAAAGAGAGAGAGTGGGTCGATGTAGAATAGTCAGCGACAGCGCACAGAGTCTATCCTCTGATGGGTCTCCTCTTAGAAAAGGAGAGGGGAAAGGAAGGTTGTCGTCGTCCTGCTGGCGTTGTTCGGAGGGTATAAGAAGTTCCAGCTAGCGTGTGCAACACTGTGCTTGCCTCTCTTTCTTTCTCTCTCTCCTCGTCGTCGTCGTTGATCTACCACGGGGGGGGAGAGTGAAGAAAGTGAGCGCTCACATCGCCCCTCCTTCGATGTTTTATACACTTTGGTCCTCATTCTCCGAGGATGAGCAGAACGGCGTTGATGGGGGTAGAATAGGTGAGGCAGTGCGTCAAAAGGCGCTTCTTTCGCTCTCTCTGGGCGAAATAGAAGCACTTCACGTGAGAAAGAAGCACAGAACCAATCACGCCGGTAGAACGGTCATCGGTCGTCACTCTCATTCTAATACACAACGCATTCATCTCATCCTCACTCCATCTACAACACACTCAACAAACTTTATCTACTTATACTCATCTTAGTGCCTCACGACCACCACATTCCTCTTTGCACAACCACCCCGCGCCAAACACCCGCAACATGCCCCCGAAAAGCGGAGAATGGCTCGAACCATCCCACGGGCGCTTCTGACGTCAAGCACATACTCCAGACCGAGCTAATGATTACGGCTACACGCTTCTCCCGTGCTTCCTCGTTCATTTTCTCACCGTTCTCACTTGTCTCGCCTCGTCTTGGCACGACATCTCGGCACCGATATTCGCTAGGAATAAGCATGACACTCCGAATAAAATACAAATACCTGAATACCTGATACCTGATATTCGATCTTCTCGTCCCCGGCTTCTGTCACAGGCTTCCACACCAGTTTCACCCTCATCCCATCCCGGCTTCCTTCCATAATGATCCCACCCCCGCCGGTACCGTACCGAAATTACGTGCGTGGACGTCTGATCGGGATCAATGCGGAGAGGGTGAACCGAGCTGCGTGAACGTGTGTTGCTTGTATCTCACGCTGGGCGATGGTCGGGTTACCACAGTTTGATAGAGGTCTCCCTCAGGATGCTTGGGATGATTCGTACCTGTGCTCTGTTCATCATGGGGATGGCAACCTTATATTCAAAACAAAGTAAGTGCTGCAATCGCAATGCTCACCTGCAGGCGCCCTCGACGTGTGATACGAGGCACAACCGTGTGAGTAAATGTGTGCAGAACGTTCCCACACGCTACGCACACGACAAACCTTATGCATGCCTCCGAGCCGCGCGACGACCGCATTGCACCAAATAATAATTCGTGCTGTATATCATTTAGAGGATTCCCCTCGTCCAACATGAACAGAGCACGTCGTCTTCCTGCGGCCGTGTTCTGAACTTGTTACATTTGCCATCATTTCCCCCCTCTGTGCAGTTCTCCAAGGGATGCTGCACGTGATGACTTTTTAACTTCACGCGGCGCGTCGCGCACATTACAGTAACATCACTTGACCACCATGTCATCCGACATATTTCAGGACATCATCTCCTCATCAGCGTTAGAGGTAAGCTGACTCCAAGTGCATTTCCCCTTCTCATCCGCGTCCAAGCTCGTCACAGCGGTCTTGACAAAGAGTACGAACCTCGCCCGGATGCTCTCTGCCACCTACTGTGATCCTGATCCTAATCCTACCTCTAGCATGCCCCCCAGGACCAACGTTCCACTCCCCGCTAGACGCCATCCTTTCCCCCTCCCGCTCCTCTCTAGCCCGCGGGGACCTGATCGAGCTCACCTCAGCCTCAGCGGGGGGAAAGACCCAGTTCCTCTATTTCCTCACGATGACTACTATCCTCCCTCCTGAGCTTCTCCTCTTCCCGGAGGGAGACATGGTCCTCCTCGGCGGAAGGGGGAAGAGCGTAATCGTACTGGACTGCGATAACCGGTGGGACGTGACCAGGCTTGCAGAACATCTTGAGCACCATATCCGTCTTCGGATCTCGCTCACCCCAGGTATCGACAGCACCTCCCTCCCAGCAGACACAGTCCCAACCGCGGTCCGCGCCGCTCTGCGCAAACTGCATCTCTTCCGGCCTACGAGCACCCTCTCCCTCGCCGCTACACTCCAGGGTCTGCCGGCCTACCATAGGGAAAAGATGAAAACAGAGGAGATGTGCATGCTTTTTCTCGATTCGGCAACTGCGTTCTACTGGACGGACAGGTGGGAGATGGAGCGCTCTAGGATCGCTTGGGAGGACCATCCGATGCGGCATGTGACAAGCGCACTGGATATGCTCAGGAAGGAATATGGTGTGGTCGTTTGGATGACGACGCAGAACCTGTTTCCCCATCGAAGAGAGACGAGCACGGCGATGCATCACCGGAGTTTTATCCCAGAGCCGACGTACTTGATCACTCTTACCAAAACGCCCACACCGCCGTATCCTCCAGAGATCAAGGTCGCACAAGCAATGTCGGACGTGCCTCGCAAAGCCTCGGTCAAGGAGGCCTGTGTGAAAGGCACGGTGAGAGAGAGGGGTATCTCGTTTGATTACGGTATTGAACCGCACGGGCTTCGGGTGGAATCGTAGCATCTACTGGTACTAGCAGTATCACCTCCATCGCGACAACAACCTTCCCCTGCCATCCACCAAGTCTGCACTACCGTGCGAAGAGAGCTACATACGAGAAACAAGACCGTAAGAGGTTTGAGGAGGGGAGGTGATTGAGGACAAGAAGAGACATTGATGGTGAGAGAGAGACGTGCAAGAAAGAACATTATGAACAAGTCCGTGTAACAGGTCGTCCCTCAAGGGACTTTTGAAGCGACCAAGAGCGTGAGAATGGACCTTGTGGAGGAGAGAAGATTGCGTTAACAAGATGTAGACACGAAGACTCAAGAAAATGAAATATACACGTGCTACCCCGCGCACTTAGCGTGCTTCCTCCCAGTCGTTCATCCGTAAGAACCGAGCCAGAACTTCCTGGGAATCCCTTTTGAACAGGTCGACATCGCGTGCGGGATCCCACCGACGGATGGCGAGCCTCGCAGCCTGCGTCCGAGGTGAGGTCATTTCCTCCCCGTCCCTAGGGGACATCAGTATCGAGGACGGCGGTGAACCACCAATGCCGCTCGACTGTGTTTCGTTAGATGATATGCGCATATGCGCTGGGATAGGAGTGGGTCCAGGCCGGAGTGGAGGGCTGAGCGGCTCCAACCCCGGATGGAGGTTCGGCGGGTTCGCAGCTACTTCCCGAGGGGATTCCACCGTGCTGAGGAAGTAGCTCTCAGTCGCAGATGCCGTGTCCGTCGTCACCAACGGCGGGGGCATCAGCACCTGTACCGGCGTCTCGTCCGTCTCCACATCCGCAAGCCGACCACGCGCACCATCCTTGTGCGTCGGCATCATCGGCTCATCATAAGGCGACGGTGTGGCCGGCATGTGGTGCTGAGGCAGCAAGTACTGCGCATCAGGCACAGGCATGTGCGTAGACTCCAGCGGCGGGTGAGGCTCAAGCATGACCATCTCGGGCGTCTGGACGCCTTCGTCCTTCTTCGGCTCGCGCTGGATGAAGAAATCCGTTCTCGGGATCTGGACTTGAATACCACGACTCTTTTTCTTCGGAGGTGGCTCGGTCTGGACAGCCTGCGACCGGTAAGCTTTCGATGGACCAAAGCTCTCCCCACCGCGGCTGCTGACCGAACCAGATCTAGATTTGGGGGATTTCCGCCCAGGCTTGCCTTCTTCTGCCACTTCTTCAGCAGCGCCAGCAGCCCCGTTCTCGCTCTCCGACTCCTGCTCATCTTCCTCGTCGTCCCCGTCCCGACTACTAGCATCTGCGCCCTCCCCGCGCTCTGCAGGCCGGCGGAAGGCAAAGTTGCCCTTGATGCCAGGCGTAGAGAGCGGGCTACTACGGCGCATGACGGCAAACGAGGGCTGTCTAGAGCCTACAGTACTAGGGCGGGACAGCTTACTCACGTACCTCTGGATATGCGGGTCCGCATCCCACGCGTTGCGGAAGGTCATATCCTGCGGCAAACCATACGTTGGGGGCGAAGGCGGGGGCTGATGTTCCTGGAACGTGCGGCCAGGGGGGACGGTGGGCGACGGGCTCTGTACGGTCAGCGTTGGCCCTTCCAGGCCGCCCACCTCAGGCAGGAGGGGTTTGATCTCCGGCAGAGGGTACTCACCCTCAGGCCACACACGCTGAGTCCTTGGACGCCCCTCCTTCTCCCAGGGGAAGATAGGGTTGACCTTACGCGGGTCAGGCGCGTGGTGCATCACCTTCTCGTACTGTCCCTGGTCGACAAGATGCTGCGGTATCTGGGTGGGCGGCGGGGCATGGAAGAACTCGCGCTGATCTCGGTAGGAAGGTTGTTCCCAGACGTTGCCCGTCCATTCGGGGAAGACGGGCGCGTGCGAGGGACGCTTGTTCGGTGGAGGCTCGTGAGCCGGGTTCCAGGTCATGATGGGTGCTGAGAAGGGCTCTGGTGGGGGAGGAGGGGGTGCGGGAGCGGCGGGTTCCGGTTGAGGGGGATGATACTCCTCCCTTTCTTGGGGAGGGGGAACATACGGTTGGTGCTCCTCATGTGGGGGTTGCCAATCCTGGTGAGGGGGAGGCGGGGGTTGCCACTGTTCTTGCTGTTGCGGAGGCGGAGGCGGGGGTTGCCCCTGTTCTTGCTGTTGCGGAGGCGGAGGCGGGGGAGGCTGCCACTGTGGTTCATGATAAGTAGGCTCGGGATGCCAAGCCTGCTCATGATGCACCGATGGACCTGGCTGCTGATGTTCCTGATACGCAGGCTGAGGAGGGAAATACTCCTGTACCGGCTGAGGTGCATGCACAGGTGGAAGCGGGGGCGGAGGCGGAGCAGGCGGCCGCTGTAAATGCGGAGGATACTCGCCCATCTGTACCGGAGGAGGAGGAAGCTGGTAATCCGAAGCCTTGGGCGTCACGTCCTCGTCCTCCTTCTCCTCCTCCTCCTCGAATTTCGGGCAAAGCAGGTCCACCCGACCCTCGAGCGGTAGGCTCTCGTATCGCCCCTCTCCGTCAGTGACAGTATATGCCGAGCCGACGCCTTTCACTGCAAGCTCTCGCAGCTCTTCAAGCCCATACACCGGGCCAGCTTCGGGCTGCGCCTCGAATGGCTTGGGCTCGTCCCACGCTGCAGCATAATGTGGTGGCTGGAAGCTCGGGGCGGTCGTCGTCGTCGTCGTCGCCTCCGGTCCCGGTCCGGGCTGGTAATCCTCCGGTAGGAAGTCGTCCACGTTCGACAGAGGCCGGTAGTGGCGGTCATACACCGCGTACCACTGATCGACAAGCGCACCGTACGCCGTATCATGGCTTTCGTGCAGCGGGCGCGGAGGAGGACGAGACGGCCGGATCGGGAGGGATGCCCACGGTTTGTGGGAACCGATAAAATGCAGGAGCTTGATTTCCTCGTGAAAGCGCGCGTAGGCGGGCTTGTACCTGTCCCAAATTAGCGGCATGTATGCGCGAGTATGGGTGGACATACGTGTATGCAGCTGTCGGGGTAGTGTTATACCTAAAGCTGATCCTGTGCCAATCGTTCCCAACCCACTCGTTGAGCAAGCCCTGGTCACCACCGTCCCAGCTTCCTCTCGTCCGTGCAAGATCGCGCAGTTCCCCAAAGCTCGCTTCACTAGGCTGGAGCACCATTACCCCGGAGTTGAAGCAGTCTGGCCAGCCGGCGTCGGGTGCCGCTGCGAGCTTCTGGGAAAAGTCTAGCTTGAACAGGTGGGAGATCGGTTGTAGGGGAAGCACGTCCGCGTCGAGGAATATGATCTTCCTAAAGTGGGTCAGTCGGAAGACGTGTAGTTTCGTCAGGACGGTCGTTAGGTCTCTCCTTCCTGTTCCTCGTCAGACAATGCAGTTAATACGTAGAGCAGACGCACCGAGCAGGCCGAGGTTCTCTACCCCCAGCTGGGACTGGTCATCGATCACTTCGACCCCGACGACCAAGTCGAATGCCTGCCTTAGGGCTCGGATCGTCGCCACGTCCACCACTTCGGGAGTGACGAGACACACGGTTTGGAAGTCGACTTCCGGTGCATTGGCAGGCTTGGGGTGTACATCCCTCAGTGCGTGGGCGACGACGAGCGCTCCGGGGAGGTACGAGTCCGAGGAGACGAGTGTGACGAAGGCGTACGGCGGGTCTGCGGCCGGGGCTGCCAGAGGAGTCGTCATTGCCGTTGAGGGGGACGCTAGTGGGCACTAGCGTCGATGATGGTTGAAGGCAGCAGGTTGTTGTTTGAGTGAGGGAGGCCGGGAGGTGGGCGGGGAGGGAGAGGTGATGTTGAAGTGGGGAAAGGAGTGTGGTGCCTCCGAGGGTGATGGAGGTCGGGGTTAAGGGGGAGGATGGAAAGGTGGTGGAGAGAAGTAGCGGAGTGGATGGGGGAGAAGGGAGAATGGACGATGTTCCGATGGGAGATGATGTGAGGGGGATGAAGGGCGGAGTGGGATGAGCCCGTCTGCGAAGGGAACGGGGGATGAATGGGGTGTGGGTTGAGTGCGGTGTTGACCCTCCTGTCGTCGAGCGTGTATGACGAGAGCGATGAGCGCTCAAAGGAGTAAGTCGGCGATGGTCATCTCACAGGCCAATCGCATGGAGGGAGGTGATGGACTCGAGGGGAGGGAGTGAGCAGTGAGATAGAGATACACCAACACCCAACCACCTTAACCCGGGATCACTCCAAAGGAAGGCACCCAAAACGTCACTCACCCGTGCTTCCGCTCCCTCCTTTCCACATCCAATCTTGGTCACTTTTCCCTCCCCTTCTCTTTCTTCCCCTTCCATCTTTATCCTCTCTCTTTCCAATCTAGATACAATACAATACATTCAATAATCCACCAACACAGGCACTCTCCGTCACAACTCTTCATCCAATTACCCGACATTCCTCCTGCATACATCTTCCTATTCCTCCAAACAGTCCAGGCACTTTCCTCCCAACCTTCCAGACCATAATAATGCCATATGCAAGAAAACCTCTAATTGCTCCCGCCACTTCCTCCATTTCTCATCTCATACCTGTCTCAAGCGTAGACACCCTCAGAATTTCCCAACCGACATTTCCCGTCCTGTTGTCGCTTATCGAAAAAAAAAGAAACACGCAAACAACCTTTCCTCCCTTTTCCCCTTCACCCTTTCAGCCAGCCAGTCTAACCCTGGAATTAATGCCTAGGAAGCACACAGACAGACCCTGTCGCCTTTCCCAGCCGGTTCCCCATGTCCAGTTTGTCCACAATTCATGAACCCCATATGTCTCACACACGGTCCGGCCAGGCTCTCCACCTGCTTACCTCGGCCCACACAAAACCCAACAACCGTAGCGTATCCGAATCACAGCAGCTTATCGTCCCAATCTCCATCTCCATCGAGCCCATCATCACTCAAGTCAGAACCTCTCAGCAGAGACAGGTCGTTCAGGGCCTCTGCCGAGTTCGGCCCGAGCCCGCCCAGCCAGTAGATGCAGCATATGTTTATCCTCCAAAAGTGCGTATCTGATCCTCCCCAGGGTCTGCACGACCGCCTTGCCCCACGGAATGCGTACCACAGAGAATTTGCGCATTCCAGGGAGTCTGGTGCCCGATGGGGTACCGTCTGTCTGCCACTGTCTGGGTCCAAGTCGCCCGGATTCAGACTTTACCCCACGCACCTTGCCCCACCGTTCAGCTCACAATTTTACACGAGAATTCCCGACACGGCGACAGCGGGGATCTAGCGCCCATGTGGAGAGGAACGCCCTTTCCAGCTGGGGCTTACCAGCCGCCTCGTGCGTCCTTGCCTCACTTCGTGCCGGCGGGACTCGTCGAGCGTCATCGCACGTGCGTGCCTTGCCCTGCCCCTTCCTATTCCAGGATACGGAACTTTAATAAAAGGTCGATATCCACCCGGTGGGGAGGTGCCGATCTCGGTGCTTAGTGGAGTATCGGCGTAAGCTGCTATGTACTGCTGAGAGCGTCATCCAGCTGCCAACTTCGAGTGAACTCCTTCGGCGCGCGATGGTGCGCGCCGAACCCAATGTATTCCTGCCCCGCACCGCGCATCAGGAATGCCAGCTGACGCTGCCATATCCTACAACCCCACGGAGCCCCGCGTAGCCCGCCCATCCTAAGCAACATAATCACACTCAGCATGTGGAGACTGTACATTGACTGACGTCGATCTGCGTTTGTCAGAGGCGGTGATGATAGGCGATGATTGAAGCCGATGTCGGAGCCGCGGAGCCGAGGCCCGGGCATTGGGACGAGATGATTGGAATGACCCAGTCCGTGAATCAGGCTTGCAGACATCGCACGACAGCGTACACGAAGCATCTCTTTATTTCAAAACAGATAACAACGAAGTAAAACAAAAAGGTTACTTCAGCCACCACGACCATCCAGACTACAGCTTGTCATAGTACCTGAATGACTCGTCATTAGCAAAATCATCGGAATATTCAAGGATCAGCACGAACATATCCAGAGTAGGAATCTCAGGCTTCAGACCCTTCCTTATACGGATGGCCTTAACCATCTCCTCGACCTTAGAGCCTTTGTCCAAAGGAGCTACACCCTTCAGCAACTCATGATCCAGGCGTGAAGTGGTTCACAACTCACAACCGCTCATGAGCTCCCAATGGTCGAACACGCTCTGTGGGAAAGCCTGTCCCGAGGTAGCCTGACGGAGGTCGGCGTTAAACCCGAACGACTCCATCACAGGCAGGTACGCCTTGACTGTCAACATCGGCGTGCCGACCCGCACCGGCTCCTCAGATAAGACCTGTCCACGACGCTTGTTGAGCACCGAGTAGATACCACCGATGCTGGTATCAGGACATTGGATTTCGACTGTGGGAATGAATCAGCCCATTTCAACAATCGGAACGTGATCCCTACCAAGATAGACGGGCTCTTGTAGGGCGGGTTTAGCGAGTAGGCAGGCAGCATATGTAACCCTGCGGAGTGTGGGCATGATTTGCCCGCTCCCACGATGAATTGAATCGGAATGCAACTTCCAACCACATTAGCACTCCCCGACATCAGAAAAAGATGCATACGTACAGTAACGTCAACAATGTTCAGGCGGACGCCGCGCATCTTCTCTTCGGCACAGACACCTGACTTGGTCGCCCATTGGAAACCCGCAACACAAGAGTCCTTGATCTCGTTGAGATACTGTACACCTTTAGTGACATCGACCATCAGGTTGGGTCCCATGTTATCAGGGCCAAAGCACCAGATCCTCCGTGCATCGGTGACATCCCAACCGTATTCGTCGGCGAGAACGCGAGCACGGACTTTGAAATCTTCGTGGGGTGTGACCTTGTTATCTTCGATGTCCTTGGTCAATTCCTCGTCAAGAGGAGAGGCCTTGGCATATAGGCGATTGTGCTTGTTCTGGGACTTGGACAAAGCGACCATGGATGACTCCGCTTGGACAGTTTCGCAATAGCCAACGACTGGATTTGACGTTCTGAGAGGCACACCAGCATGATCCTCTTCGAGATCGTTCAGGCAAATCTCGAGGTGAAGCTCACCAGCACCGGCAACGATGTGTTCTCCGGTCTCCGTGGTCCACGTTTGGACGCAAGGATCAGACTTGGTTAGACGCTTCAAGCCTTCGACTAGTTTGGGAAGATCCGCAGCGTTCTTGACCTCGACAGCGACCTGAACCACAGGGGAAACGGAGAACTTCATAACCTTGATATTGTGCGCCGTCTCCGAGGAGGTCAAAGTTCCTGACTTGAGCAGGAATTGGTCGACGCCAACAAGGCCAACAATGTTACCAGCTGGGCAATCCTGGATGGGCTCTACGGATGGACCCATCATGAGAACCGTACGCTGCACAGACTTGATGAAGAGATCCTCTTTCTTCCCCGGAACGTAGTTAGGACCTTGGATACGGATCTTGGGTCCGGCCTTGACAGTGCCGGAGAAGACACGGCCGAATGCGTAGAAACGTCCCTTATCGGGAGCGGGAACCATTTTGGAGACGTACAAAACAAGAGGCCCCTTGGGATCGCAATCGCGAATACCAATGGCAGATTCATCGTCCATCGGTCCTTCGTACAAGGTCTCAACGCGATACCTCTGAGCGGTTTGCGGAGATGGTAAGTTGAGAACAATCATTTCTAATAGAGAGTCACCCGCAGGGAGGAATTTGCGCATCGCCACCTTCAGCAAAGCCTTGCCCTCCAGAGCCTTTTCCTCGGGTAGAAGCTTGACGTCGAGCTTTTCCAGCATGCTAAAGAGATGATCTTTTTGGAGGCTCATGGTAGCCTTGAAAATGTTGAAAATGGGATCGAGAATGAACATGTTGAAAGCGCGCTCCAAGGGCGTACCATCTTCTGCAGTAGCCTTTGTTGTCCACTTGTGGTTTGCGGGGTTGAAATAGTTTTCTCCCCACAGCTTTGCTATCATCTTGTCCTTGTCCACCCCGAACTTCATGCTGTAGCGGGCAGCGAACTGGCGCAGAGTGAAAGCCCAGCCCTGCAGGCCAGATCCAAAAGCAACGGTACACTTCTCTGGCGCGACTTGTACATCGCCGAGTACCGCATCTTGATACGTGGCAATGATGACGTTCACGGATTCAATGGTACGAGAGAATGACTGAAATAGGTCTTCCTTAGACACTTGCAATTCGAGAAGGGCGCGGTCGACCTTGTTGATGATTACGACAGGTTTGATACGCTCCGTCAAAGCTTGACGGAGGACTGTCTCCGTTTGAACGGATACACCCTCAACGCAGTCAACGACAACCAGGGCGCCATCGGTGACACGGAGAGCTGCGGTGACCTCGGACGAAAAGTCGACGTGACCCGGAGAATCAATCAGATTGATCAGGAACTCGTTACCTGAAGATGCAATGAGGAGTAGTTCAATGATCGTCCGTCATCACGCACCCTCTGTTTTCTGCTTGATGGCGGATACTTCCTCTTTATCGACCTCGAAATACATAGAGATCGCAGTGGATTTGATGGTAATACCACGCTCCTTTTCATCGGGCCTTGTATCGGTGAAGAGCGCTTCTCCCGCCTTCTTGGCAGCAATAATACCAGCCTTTGAAACCAAAGAATCAGTCAGAGTAGATTTGCCGTGGTCGACTATCTCATTATCAGCAAGGTGCGGCGCTTAAAACAGAGAGGCTTACCATGAGCGATGACACTCATGTTGCGGATGTTGGTAGGCTTGTCCATAAGCGCGCGAACCTGGTCTGAATTCACATTGTCAGATTGATGGGGCACATGAGATCATCTTGGACGCTTACCTACGGTAAAGTTCCTGGGTTAGAAGAAAACAATTAGTCAGCATACGTGAAACGATCACAGGCCGCAAAAGACCCGTCGTTAGGCCAATTAATCCGGCGAGATACTTACACCATGATTGCTGAATATGATATATAAGCGGTGGATACTGGAGTTTGAAGATCGAAGGGATGCGTTGGGAACGGAGAGTTGAAGGGCAAGGCAGTCTTTATGGAGGCGGAGCACGCTATTAACGGGGGTATTTGCCAAGTGGTTCTGATATGGCTACAAGTGAAGGTTCAGCTGAGGGAGATGCTGAGAACAATGAAACCACTGACTAATCAGAGAGTGTCCGTCAGGCTATAGTGTATTTACTCATTCACGACCCAGGGCTGGTCAATGGTTGTCCAACTGACAAGTGCTTCTGGAGCATGCCACCGGTGCAACTGTCATGACACTGTTCCAGTCTCTTGATACCTTATGGCTCACTAGTCAATTGTGTCCAACGAGTCTCCCAAATGACCAGCAATTGACAAGTTATCGTCAGGATGTACGGGACGATTGTCATCCCTAGTCATCCGAGTTGATGAGACATCCGGATGCTATCGGATCCTAAAGCCATCCGGTTCCCGCGGATGGATAGACCATTTAGTTGACGGTTAAGAAACGCCAATCTGGGAGGGAGCACGAGGTGACTTCAGCGCAGATCATCTGAAAGTCGACTGACCGGCCGCCGACTGTGGTGGTCGATTAGGGAGAGGACGTCGCGTTGGTGCCTTGCGGCACGTGACAAATGAGCCGACGTGGGCGTGAGCGCTTCTAACTGAGCTCCTTGTGCTTGAACCCTACACATCTGAACCTCGTATATGTCCTTTCTGTATGTCATGGACCTTCAGACTTCTCTCTCTCCTCCGGTCCTAGAGAAGAAGAAGAAGAAGCTTGATTGGTATTCAGCTAATTGCCAGCAAACGCACGTGTTCCGAGACTCAATGATGGGTCTCCACCTGGCAAAGTCATAACGACCATTGTTCGCACGCACAGTCTTACTATCATTGTTATGCACTGCATATCAAAACCACGCTGAGTGAAGCGAGGAATGCGGCGACCGTTTCTGAGGTTATATGCCCTTCCGTCCTCGCAAGCTTTTTTCTCTCATCTAACTCGCCCGACCACTCTACATTTTCTTGTTCGCTCCGTGATGTTCAGCAAAATACTTGATGCAATCAGGTCCGTATTCCTTTGAGCTCGTCCGGACACTTGACTGATATAGAACATATCATTAAGAGGCGGTCGTTCCGTATACCTTGTGGTGTATCATCGAGATCCGAAAGCGAGGCAAGGTGGTGCACATTGGGCGATCTGGATTCCCCATCGAGATGACTCAACGGGCTGCGGAAAACTCATACATGTCGTGGGCGACACTCAATTGACGGGGTTTCGCATTCAATTTCGTCACTGCTCATTCATCACAATTACCAATCGACGTTACACCCTGGTTTTACTGGACGACGACGTGTCCTCGCGATTGATTGTGGACAGAGTAAACTACGAAGTTCGAGAACCGTCGTGTTTAGAAGACAATCAATCTCCCATGGATGAGATGGAGCGTATTGCGCTTTCCATTCCCGCCCCTCCCAGGACTCTACCCGGCGTGCGCACTTCTCCAATATCAAACTGTCTGTTCTGTGCTCATCGTGTGTCAGGAGCCCTTTGCGGGTAGTTGCCAATCCTGGGTTTGGCAGTCCGTCACACACTTGGTTTCGACCCGGGTTCTCAATCAGAGTGCATTGGAAGCTCTTCGCAGCGCACCAAAGGAATAGTCTCATGTATCAGATGAAAGGGCACCGAACGTGTATCTGATCGAACGTGGACCATATCGTCGTCAGAGGTTGTATCATGTGAATTCCGTTGTCATCCCAATTCATGTCGAGTACCTTATGATGTGGTCGCTACAACAGTCCGTCCAGCTCTGCTGGCGAGAACAATCACTCCCTTCAGCCAAGACACGACAACAGTTATGCAGTACGAAGATCGATATCGATCCTCCGAATCAAGATTGCGCGTACAATACACCTAGTCACTAAAGGGCTACAGTATGGGCGAACACTAGCCACGCCTCAAGAACTTCCGTAGGTTTGATGAACATGGGTAAGTATATAGTCTGCCAATCTGGTCTCTCGTCGGTTGGACCGTGGTGATGGGGTGTGAAGACGTGCTCTGAGGTTACTCTGCCGCTTCAATGACGGAAAGAGGAGACCCGGTGCGAGGAGTGCTGGAGTCTTCCTCAGAGAAGGAGCCGCTCAAAGCAGGCATACTAGTCTGCTTTTGCGCTTAATCAGAACCGAGGGGAAACACGATGCCAAGAGAACTCACCTGCATGCTCTCTTTGGCACGTTTATCCAGAGTTGGAAAGCGGCGTTTCATCTCATTAACAACGTGCCGCGTGAGGCGCATGATTTGGGGCTCTGGGAGGAGAGAGAGAATCGCATGAGAGTCGCCGAGTGTCGAAAGAGGACCCGCTATTACTAACGTCAGAGAGTGGGACTGATCATATGAGGGAGAAGACGCACTATGATGAGTGGTGCTACGCTCCTTCAGTACCGCTTCGACGTCTTGTACCACCTCGACGAATGTCACGTCGAGCAACTTCTTCAGCTTCCACTTTGTCCACAGATTCAGACGTCCATGATCTAGAGATAAAATGAGTCCAGTATCACGCTGTTATCACCCTTCAGCTTACCATTCGCAGCGCTCAGGACAGTATATGCAGGCACCAAGGCTGTGGTGAGCTCATCGCCATTCATGTTCTCTGCAGGTGCGCTGACGGGATTGGGGAGTGACATTGGTGAGAAGACAGTTGGGTGTCGGAGAAGACATCGCTTCGTGCTCGGTGGCCTGGTCACCGATAGACATTGCTGAGAGAATTGGAATGTTGAGGCACAGAAAGGTTGAGATTGAGAGAGAAAACGTCGGACAGTGGTATGAATGACCTGATCACCCCGATGTGGAATGTTTTTCATGTGTCGGAGGCAAACGTAACTCTGCTGGGTCATGTCCTCCTAGGCAATTCGGTGTGTGAGTATATTCGAGCCGCATGTATAACCCTGATACGTACCACGCGTCGATGCTGCTCAAACTTGTCTTCTCTCCTATAGTTCCTGGTCTGGATGCACAAGACTAGAAGAAGCTGGGCTGCCTTGGACCTTCTCGGCAAACAAAGACTCATTGATGGGTCTCCGCGTAGGAGAGTCATAATGGCCGAATATCGTTCGTAGGTGGAGTCCCACTATGACTGTTACGCACTGGATATCGAAAATCGCGCTGGATGGGGCAGTAATGCGGCGACCGTTCCTACGGTTATATACGTACCCCCTTTCATCCTTTGCTCTATCTCATCGAACTCACGACTGACTGCTCGACATCCTTATCCATTTCACGATGTTTGGCAAACTACTTGATGCAATCAGGTGCGTTTCTTCTGTATTTTGTGTAATCTGAACACTTGGATGATAGAGAGCATATCATACAGAGGTGGTCGCTCCGTGTATCTCGTGGTGTATCATCGAGAGGTTAGTGCGAGGGAAGGCCCTGCACACTGGGCCATTTGGATTCCACATCGGAACGCTGCGGAGTTCGGCAAACTCATACATGTCGTTGGCGATACTCGGGTGATGGGATTTCGTGTCCAATTCCGTCACCATGCCCAGGTCACTTTCACGGATCGACGTTACGATCTGATCCTACTCGATGACGACGTTTCCTCGCGACTGATCGTCGACAAACCGCAATACGAAGTTCGAGAGCCGTCATATACTGAAAAGCGCCAGCAGCCCGTTGATGACATGGAGCGTTACGCCCTTGCCATCCCTGCTCCCCCTTTGACTCCAGACGGGGTAAGCACTTTCCCATCTGCCTTTCTTGTTCTCAATTTATACTGTGTCAGGGGACATTTGCCGGCGACTGCCAGACCTGGATATGGCAGGTCGTTACAAGTTTGGTTGACAACGGTGTTCTTAAACAGAGTGCGCTAGCAGCTCTCGAGGATGTTTCGACGGTGTGATAGGACGTGATGGAAAAGACGAAGGAGAAAGGTCAACTGACTCGAAAGGCGCTCAGCGTAAACCATACCGTTGAAGTCTGTATAGTGGAACTTCTGTCCTTTTATCCAATGATGCAATGTCAAATTACGAACGTTTCTCCCAGAATTGAGCGGATCGCAAGTCGTTGAGTGTGCTGCGTCACTCAGAACGAGTCATTTGAGGTAACATTGGAACGTGAGCAGTTGCGCATAGAACGCTTTTCGCGTACTTGGTCGTTAGAAGGCTACAATATAGGCGAACACGAGCCACGCCTCAAGAACATCAGTTGGTTCAATGAACATGGGAAAGTATGTAGTCTGCCAATCTGACCCTCGTTTCGTTGTCCAGCGAGCTTTGCAATACTCCCAATACGATGGCATCCACCCAGACTGCTGCCAATCGATGATCGCCAGTACCCTCGGAGGATCTTCCCAAGACCACTCGCCCTTCCATAGCCAACTTATCCAATCCGGCCAGTCCCACGGCCAGATGTTCCATGCCCACGACCATTCCCATCTATCCCATGGCCATCGCGCCGATATCATAATATTTGACGGATGTAGGTCTCCATGAGTGAAAACGATGCTTGCATCATCGGGCAGGTCGAATCGACCAGGGTGAACCTGGATGCCAGGCGGCATTGGTGCTGGAAGCGCAAACCAGTCATGAAATTCAGCCACGGAATGAAATGAACGGGCCGGGGTCATATAGCTATGGAAAAGAATCTCTTCTGGTGGCTGGTTACCGATGGCGCCTATGTTCATGAGATGAATCTGACCATTCAAAGAACAGAAGCTGAATCACTTGCCCACGTAACTATTCATCGGATCTTCCTCGATCTGGCGCAAGTCATCCACCATATCCTTTATCTGCATGCAAACTACTGTCTTGCTTTTCTCCGATAGCCATTCCCATCGGTCTTGCAAAGTGACCCCCCGAATAAGTTCCACGTAGACGAATGCCCTGCCGTTCTCAACTGTCCAGCCATATACCTCAGGTACCCGTAGTACCGTCCGACCCTGCAGCGCATACAGGCATTGGCCTTCGACGATGCTAGCCGCTGTTCCGAATTTTACGAGCAATCCCAAAGCTGGGAATCGCACGGGCCTTGGACGCGGAGCGATGGGATGATCGCCCAACGCTTTGCACCTTGCTAGCACTTGTGCGGGTGTAGGCAGCTGAGCAGTAGGATGTCGTCGAAAGAAGGACGAATCGTGAAGGATGACATGGTCACCAGAAGGAGCGCTGCGTAGTTGGTTGGACGTTGACATTCGAAAATGAGGTCGCAGAAAAGATGGTGGTATGTATGGCCCGATCACCCCGATATGGAATGTTTTCGTATTCTTGCCGGACGCAAACCTCGGCTTCATTCTTCGGAACCATCAAGAAACCTCAACGTACAAAGTATTGAACAACACACTCAAGCTGCCCAAGCCACGCATTGGCGTTTACTCAATCTCATCTGTTCTTCTTTGGGTTTGGTCTACATGTTCAAAAAACGCAGAAGAAACTGGTCACCGGACGACCCTGTCCCCAGCATACACGTATAAAAAGCCTCATTGATGGCAGAGTCATAACGGCTTTTGTTCGTAGGCACAGTCTTGATATGACTGTTATGTGCTGCACGTCCAAATTGACGCTGGATGGAGCCAGTAATGTCACCACCGTTCCCCCGACATTTGCCTTGTCCGCTTCATAATGTTCGGCCAAAAACTTGACGCAATCAGGTCCGGACATCACACACTCTCCATAGTTTGAACACTTCACTGAAGAGGATGTATCATCTAGAGGGGGTTGTTCAGTATATCCCGTCGTATATCATGAAGATCGCAGGACGGCGATCGATGCTGCACATTGGGCGATTTGGATTCCACATTGAGATGAGTCGACAGGCTTCGGAAAACTCATCCACGTGATCGGCGACACTCAACTGAAAGGGTTTCGTGTGCAATTTCGCCACAGAACACAAATCACAGTCACGAATCGACTTTACGATCTGTTCTTACTCGACGACGACGTCTCCTCGCGTCTGATCGTGGACAGATCCGACTACGAAATCCGAGAGCCATCATATGCAGAGTTCAACCAACCGCCCATCGATCGCATGGAGCATCTTGCGTTTTCCATCCGCGCCCATACCACGACTCCGCCAGCCGTGAGCATGTCTCCAACACATCCCTTTCCTTTCTTACTCTGTGGCAGGGTCCATTCGCAGGTAACTGCCAATCATGGGTATGGGAGTTCGTCGCGCACTTAGTTTCGATCGGTGTTCTCAAACCGACTGCATTGGAAGCTCTTCAACGTGCATCAAGGATGTAGTATGATATGCGGAAAGCAGTGCACTCAACCGCTCGTTCGTCCCATTGATCGACCTGGACTATGCATATGAGGCTTACGATTGTATGATACGATATCGTGCTTTCATGTCAAATTATCATGCTATCATGTCAACGACACGGAGTTACGGACTGGCGCCCGCGCGTCTCTTACGTAATCTAAGAGCTCTAGTGGTGCATCCCTGAAGAGTGGGGCGTATCTTCGGGTTACTCTGGCGACCTAGCCTGCCTGAGACAACGCGGATATTAGACAGGCCAAAGGATCTACACATGTACAAGTTGCTTCAAGGACTAGCCCCCCACGAGCTCCTGTTTCTGCACTCAGGCTCATCTCTGGCGTCTCACCTCCTGTCTACCTGCCGGCTGTGGATATGATGAGCATTTTTTTCCTTGCCCATACACCCACTGGATTTCGCTTCTATGCTATCCAAACCCCGAAGTGCAGGAAGACGAAAGGGCGTACGGATTTGGCTGATCTGATAAACGACCCATAGACGCGGGGAGAAGCTCAGATTTGCCATGTTAGAAGCGTCTCGCGCTCACAGGTGTATTACGGCGCGTGAGAAATCCAAGCGGACTTAGAGCGTGTGAGGAAGAGCCCGTTTCCCAGAACCCGCGAGCTGCACTTCGTATTCGGAGATCTTCGTAGCACACTCGGCATGAGGGCGGAATCAGATGGTTAATTCTGCGCACTCCTTTGCATGTAAAGCTTTCATAAAACGTTGTACAAGTATATCGTTACATGACCACGCGAGTGGAACATGGATTGTGCCTCCTTTGACAACCCTCAACTCTGCCGCGGGGCAACGAACAAAGGCCCCTGCACGGTGATCTACCCATCCTGCATTGCGATCCCGCCATATCACCGAGTTGACATATTGGAAATAAGAATTTGACAAGCCGAAGGCGTGTTCAGGGCGGTTTCCAAGCTTCTAGCCCCAGAAGCCGGGGTCGCTGGTACCCCGGCACCGCTCCCCGCGCAAATATATGCACCCGTGGGCGTTGCCCATATAAATGAGTGATGCAGTGATGAACCTTGGGAGACGTCTTGCTTCTGTTGATATTCGTTTGCTTTGCTCTCTTGTTTCGCTCTTGACTAAAACTTTCTGTGAGCACGTAGTCACCAAGTAAGTCTTTTTTTACAATAATGACTGCGAACTCACTGACACCACTGCTTATAGGGAATACCTGAGACACCATGGCGATTTGGGTACGAAGTCGATTGTACCTGGAGGCTGTGGAGGCTGTCAGGGTGACAGTAGAGACAGTGGGTAAGTGCTCATACCTTGGTGTTTGGGAAGCAAGTTAACTGACTTGTGGTTAGTGGTGTTCGAGCCTATCAACCCAGCTGAGGTGATTGTAGAGGCGTTGACCACGGGTCACGTCTCTGCATCGCTACCTACCAGGGCCAGGGTGAGAACAACAGCCACCCACCCTTCTGAGGACCCATGCAGTGTGCAGGGCAACACTGCGCAGAGGAGAGAGAACGGACAGGTCCTGGGAGCCGAGAACGCACCGGTGAGCACTGATTTTCCAACTGGAGTAGAGCTTGAGCTGTTGTTGATCGCTCCTCGTGTTTAGGCTGCCGAGGGCTCGGCGGACCGCCGCAACACTGCAGGGCGACGATCCGGTACGTTGACCAACAAACATCCGTATGAGACTGATGCAAACATCTAGCCAATGAAGTGAGCGGTGGCATGCAAAGCGCAGACACCGAGGCACGACTGCATGGGGGACAGCAATCGACCGTCGCGGTAGTTACGATCAACACGGTCATCAACAGCAATATAGTCGATGAGCACGGCAAAAAAAATCATTCTGCCAGCACTGCAACCGACCAAACCGAAGCTGGCCAAGATGATGATAACGCACACCGAACGGACTCGGCTGTACACCAGCTATCGGAGCAAGGCCATGGCAGAGTCGGGGATGGCATCGTCAAGGAGATGTCAGGCCTCGGACAGTCAGAGTAGGAGAGGAAAAGATCAGATTGGGAAGCCCAGGACTGTTCGTTGTTCTTTTGATGCGCTACAGAGATGTTCCGTAAGAAGAATGCACCCCCAATACAGGTTGTTATGCCCTTAGCCTCCACCAGACCGTTATGCCTTCATGGAATCCAGAGAACCCTCAGCGAACCACCACTTGCGCACCGGACCGTCTTCCATCTTGCTATTCTTCTCGTCATCTAGGGGTTTGTTGAAATCCACTCCGCCGACGAAGCTCTTCTTCGCAAACAGGGGGAGCCGGAGCTCATCGTCCGGCCACATGTTGTCAAACGGAATACTAGGTAGGCAAACCGATTCCGTTTGGGCCGACGGTAGTGTCGAGTGCCACTTTGGCAACATCTCCTCCGTTCTGAGACACTGTGAGCCAGCTCGCGGGCGACAAATTCAAGTGGCTTACTCTTCTAGTTCTCGTTCCCATTCCTCAACACGATACACGTGCACGTCCATCAGCACAGGGCTACGACCGCAAGAGATCATCTTGGTTGCTGGGATATTGGCCTCTTCCTGCGTATATGCGTCTCAGCAGATAATCTTCAGCCTTAACTGGGAAGCTTTACTAACAAGTAATTCACGCATCTAACACCGTCTCTCCTGGTTCAACCTTGCCGCCGAATCCATTATACCTCCCAACACCAAAGCCGCGTTTCTTCAAGCCCAAGCATATCTGGATGAGACGTGGAGCAAGCTCATGTCAGAGGTGTGAAAGCGGGGCATCTCTCACGAAGCACACCCACCTTGTTCTCTCCAGTGATGATGGGGAATACGAGTGTATATTGCTTTACGCTCGACGTTGTGAGCCATGGTAGATGGAGTGAGTTGGAAGGCCCTTCTGTGTGGACGGATCCGATACTGCCCGGTGCCAGCAAGGATGCGAATTGATCCATTGAGTGGTTATGGTGGAGGGCGGTGGAGGCCGACGCGTTGTGCGTTGAACTGGTTGGAAAAAGCTCTCTCAGAGAATGTTATAGTAGGACTCTTTATCGTCCGCTACGAAATGAGCGAGGATAGAGAGCGATTCATTTTTCATCAAACCGCTGTTGAAATGTCATGTAATTCAATGGAAGAAATACACCGGAGCTTCGGCCTCTTATAGGAATATTAATTTCAATGCCCTGTAAAAAGGGGCCAATGGTCTCTGCCGTCCTTCTAGGGTCCCGGAGATATCGAGAACTGGAGGTTGCCTTACACGGTCCACCTGAACATCTACTACAACATACCCCCCGCAAGGCCTGCGAGGATCTCCTCGCTCCTTTCACTCTTCCCACATCTTGGTCAACATTATGGCAGGTTCTATTGCTGCTGCACGTCCTCTGCGCGCTGGCTTCTCTCTCGCCGCGCGTGCATCGTCAAAGG